GCCAGGGAGAAGCCCTTTCCTCATATGTACAGTTGGGGGTGAGTTTGGGAGATTCTGCTCACAGGGAGATCCTCAAACACATGCATCACCCCAAACACACATGGATCCCTGCATACATGAGTCCCCAAAACACATGTAGTGCATGATACATGTAGACCCCTCCCAAACTCACACGGCTCTCCAAACACACATAATCCCAAAACACACTCAGGTCCCCCTGCACACGTGGATGCCCAATTACCTGCAGACCCCCAAGACACACACAGAGACCCAACACGCCAATCCCCCAAATGCCCACAGACCTCCCAACATATGCAGATGCCCCCAAACAGACCAGCTCCCCCACAACATGCAAACCCGCTAGACACAAGCAGAGCTCCCCAAATCTGTGCTGGTCCTCCCATTACATGCAGGCCCCCAGACTCAGGTAGGGCCTCCCTCCCCTGCAGTGGTTTTGCCCATCCTCTGGCTTCCTGAGGCAGGATGGGAGCACCCCCTGGGGGAGAGATGTGGGCTGGGGGGTGGGGGTCCTGAGGGTGAGGTGCCGGGGTGATGATCTCAGAGACCCCCATATATGGACCGTGCATGGCGACCACAGGCTACGTTGGTACAGGTGGCAGGGGATCATGGGGATCTGTGGGGTATTTCTGGAGACTGTGGGGGTCTGTGGGTGGAGTGTGTTACCCTCATGTGGCTCTGAATCCTAAAAACCCAGAATGTTCCAGCTGGAGAAGGTCCTTTGGGGGCCCCTTTGTGCATAGGTCTCTCTGGCATCCATGGGGAAACTGAGGCCCAGTGGGGGACCTTCAGACCTTCCCCCACAGACCCCTCCTTGGAGGGACCTGCCATGTGTGGCCATGTGCTGAGAGGTACGTGGGCCTGGCTGTGACTGTGGGTCTGGCTAGACCAGTATTCATATCCTGGCTCCACTCTACACTCATTGCCTGACACGTTCCGAGCCTCAGTCTCCCTGCTTGTACCATGGCCCCCTGGGGCTCCTCAGGCATCCATTCACCTGCCCCTCCTCTTTAGGGAGGCCTCATCTACTGGCAAATTTCCAGCTCACCTTCTGCCCCTTTCCAGACACCTGAAACACCAGCCCCAGATAGACCTGTCACTTTCCCATCGCCAGGCCTTTGCCTGTGCTGCGCCCTCTCCCTGAAACATCCTTCTCAGGCTCACCCAGGTCTGAGAAGCTGCTACACATCTGTCGAGCCTGGGCAAAAATCTCTTCCCCAGAGGTGCGTATTTCCCCAGATCAGACTTCTCTCTCCCTGTGGCACTTAGTTCTACCAGATATTTTCTGTGCTTCTATGCTACTTTCTTTGATGATCATGTCGCCCTCCTAGGATGTCGGCTCTATGAGGCCAGGGATGGAGGCTTCCCTACACCCGGCACACAGTAGGCTGGCAACCACCCTTCCTTGAATGAATGAGCAAACAACCGCTTAACAAACAGAAGAAACATTGGCAACTGGTTTAGTTTTCCTTTTAACACTTCATGGCTCACAAAACAAATATGAGGCCCTGTCTGGTCGCCAGTTTGAGACCCCTGCTCTCAACAGTCAAAAGCACACCAGCCAACTGGATGGTGCTCACACTTCTCTCAGGCCAAGGGGCCGACTCTGTGAAGGTTCCAGCGCCCATCTCAGAAGGAAACTATGTCATAATAACATGCAGTACCCAGCTGCCCTCCCTGTCCACTGCCAACAGAGGCTCACCGCCCCATCCCACCTCCCATACAGTCTGGGACCCCTACCTCCAGGGCTGGGAGAAGACTCCCCAATCTGCCATCTCACACAGATCAGAGCCCTGAGCCACCCAAGGCCCTCAGTGATGTCCCCTAAGCTGCAGTGGCAGCTGCAGGAACAGCCCAAAGTTTATCTCTTTGTTCCAGAGAAAATCTCCCTGTAGGGCCCCAGAAATTCATCCCCAGAGGTCCAGGCCTCCCTGCTTGGGAAATTAGCACATCTGTCAGCACTGGGCAGAAGGGACTCAGCCCATAGCCCAGTAGACCCAAGACATGGCCAGTGGGGAACCTAAGATGGGGCCTTTGGGGCATCCCTGGTCCCCACTTTCTTCCCCCAGAAATGTCTGGGAGCTTACCAAGGTGCCAGGGATACAAGGACAGGGAATGGAGAGACCCAGCCTGGACTTCCCCATTGCCCAGTCTGGTTGGGGAGACAGACACATAACTGTGTCAGGGACAGAGGCCTCTGATGAAGAAATTCAATAGGGGGAGGCAGTGGGGAGGGGTGGCAGGGAGGGAGCTGCTTTGGACAAAGAGGCCAGAAGGGGCTTTCTGAAAAGGGGACCTCAAGGATGAAAGGAGACCAGCCATGAAGGGATGTGGGTGAGAGGTTGCCTGGTAGAAGGTATGGCAGATGCAAAGTCTCTGAGGTGGAAACATGCTCAGTGCGTTCCAGGTATGGGGGTGGCTGGTATGGCTGGGTATGGATGGGTGAGCAGGGCCTAAGGGCCTAAGAGATCAGGTAAGAGAGTGGGCTATAGAGCAGTGGGGAGCCATGGAGGGTGTATGAGCAGGGGAGGGAGGGCTGTGGTATGATTCAGGGTTTTCAGAAGACCCTGTGGCTGCTGTGGGGAGAAGCCCTATGGGAGCAGGAGGCCAGGACAGCATCCAGAGGGAGATGGTGGAGTCTTTGGTTGTGGAAACTGAATAGAGGCAGTCCTGTGTCCACAGCAGTGACTCGTTATGACAACCTGCTTGGATTGTTCCCTTCCGAGGACTCTACTTCAACCTCCAGTGAACATGAACCTGGAGGAGATCAGGACAGAGAAGCTGAAAGGCCTGAGCCTGCTTGGCCCCAGGGGGAGCGGGCGGTGAGGGTGGGCCTGGATGGGGCTCAGAGGCACATCCACTCGATCATAGTTCAGATGGCACCTCTTGTTGTTGAGTGCCTACTGTCTGCCCGGGCCCACGCTCCACCTCATTTACACACAGGACCAGCCTGACTCAGATAGCCCAGTGAAGCGGAGACAGCTGACCCGGTTCTACTACACAGGAGGAAGCGGGCTTCTCCCCAGAGCCACTCGGCAGGACCCCAGATCCTCACTCAAGCGTGGGCGTGTACCCCAGGGTTGTCCGGCTGCACCCCTAACTCACCCTCCCCGCTGCCCAGTCTAGAAAGTGGGCCTGGGCATCAGTGGGGTCCGAGACACTCATTCTTGGGTCACCTGGGGGCAACAGGCAGCCTCACAAGCCCCTAAGATGCAGGCCTAGGGAGGCCCTTGTGGGGGCTGAGAAATGGGACCCAACCTCTGTGTACACCCCATGCGGATTCATGGGCCAGGGCTGGGGTGACCTCTCTGACCCCAAACGGGATCCCAGGCATATGATAAATCCTCTCCGACAAATGACATCTGTCTCCAGGTGCACATGAGCCTCGAATCTTCCAGAAGGTCAGACCCCCAACATGTCTACACTCATTGCATCTAAGTTGAGGTGACAAATTATTTTCATTCCCTTACTCCTCTAATTTGCATTCTCCAGATGTCTTCCTGGTTGGGTAATGATTTAATGAAATAAATCATTAGTTGGAGATGGGAAGTAAGATTGGGCTGTACTTGCTTTCAGGTCACAGGAGCAGCCAGAGAGCTCAGAAAGGGGCAGCGATCTGTCTGAGGGGAGAGAGGAAGTTGGGGCCCCTCATTCCTGGCTTTTGTTCTCTTGGGAACTGAGGGGCAGCCGTGTCTCCACCTGGCCTCAGTTTTCCCTCCTACCAAGTGGCAGCTTCAGACCAGATAACCAGTTTCCAGCTCTTGCAGGTGAGACCCCAGGACCCTAAATGTCCCCAAATTCCATTCCCTGGAGGCCAAGATTCACTTCTTGACTCAGACAGGTGGTGGAAGGCAGGTATGGGGACAGGAGGGAGCGAGGCTGACTTCTCCCAAAGCCCCTTTGACCTTTGGAATCAAACCCCACACATTTGTCCTTTCAAGTCTAAATACCTTTTTGAACCCCATTTTCTTCACCCCAAGAGCCTGAGAGTTCTCATCCCTGGATGCCAAATCCAGAGGTCCTGACCATCCCCAGTGAGGATTCTCAGCAAAGCCGGGCATGAGGCCTCAGCCATTCCTCACTTCTTGGGTATGCAGCTTGCGGACAGGGAATAGCCAGGGACCCCAGTTGGTGACATCTCTGCCCTGGACCCTGAGAGGCAGAGGGTGGAGACCATGACCACGAAAGTTACGCAGCCACCAGCTTGTCATGTGCTGACACTCAGAGGGCTATGACTATTGTTCCCATACCCATGTCCCAGATGGGGACACTGAGTCATGGGGAGGGGGCGGCCCAGGCAGCTGTGGTCTCCCACTCAGGGCTCCATGTCCACTGCCCTGCCCCCAGCTACACAGGTACCCTGAGTGCCCAGCTGAGGCCCCACATTTGCTGCATGAAGTGCAGGCCCCATGGGTGGGTGAAGGTCATGGTGGTCCCAGGCACATGTGGATGTCATGCCACATTCAGGCCTGGGGCCTTGACACACGAGGGCATACCCATAGCAGGAAGGCATGGGGTTGTGCACAGGGGCCTCTAGGATGTGCAAAGGAGTGTGCCCCAGGAAATGGGGACACTGGAGCTTACTGACATGCAGCTCACAGACGCATACCAGGGGCTCATGGCAACACAACTTTATACACACAACTCCCGAACTGACATGAAAACCCTCAGACACATTCCCCTTGGACACACAAGCCCTCAGACATGATACACTCTCCTTCAGACATAACTCCTGGACATGAAACTCCTTGGACACTCATCTTTTGGTACACACAACCTCTCAGAAACACAACCCTTGGACACACACCCTTTGGACACACAACCCCTGGGACACACAGCCTCTCAAATTCCCAATTCTAGGACGCACACTACTTAGACAACTCTCCGATGCATAGCAAGACAGTCGGACCTTCAAACTCAACCCAGCCCACAGAAGCTATTCAAAGGACACGGCACAGGCCTCGGCCCGACGCGACACGCACCTGCTCCACCTGGACCCTCGGACGCTCGCGCACCGACCCGGCGGCAGCGGCACAGAGCTCCGAGCGCCCCGGCGGCCACAGGTGCCTTCAGAGTGGGAGGCCCCGCCCCCAGGAGCTGATTGGCCGGGGCGGTAGTTTGCATAGAGGGCGTGTCTGCGGGCGGCGACGGGCGGGCACTTGGGCGTGGCCCAGCATCGCGAGTTCTGGGGCCCGGTACTTAGACGCGGGAAGACGCAGAGGTTAGGGGAGGAGAGTACAGTGAGGGAGGAGGACCCGGGAGAGGGCTGGATCAGACGTGCCAGGCTTCCTACCCTGTCACTGGTCACTCCTGACCTTACTGCTGACCCTGACCCTAATTCGGACCCTGACTCTAACCACTGCTAGCTCCTGGACTTACTCCAACCTGAATGAACTATATCTCCGATCCCGGACCCTGAGGCCCCAGGGACCGAGGGCTTCTCGAAGCCATCCCTAACCCTTGCTCTTTCAAATAGAAGGACTGCAGAAAGGGGCTCTGGGGTCGCTGTGTGGACTATTCCAGCTGTGCCTCCTGCAGCTGGGCCAGAGGGGTCAGGGAGGGCTGCCCCCAAAGAGGGGACATTTGTACCGGGCCTTGAAGCATGAGTAGGAGTTTGCTACTGGTTGAAGGGTTTTCTAAGAGGGAACAGGACTTGCAAAGATGCAGAGAAAGGCTGCAGAATAGTCTTTGGTGGAGGACGATGAGGGAGATGAGGCCAGAGTAGTGAGTGGAAGCAGACTGAGCTAGGCATCCACGGAGAGGCTGGGAGATGGAGCCATGAGGTAGGATGGGGAGGTCCATTTGGGGCAGATGAAAAGGAGAGAGCAGGTGGGTTGCAGTGGCTGCCTGATGTCCACCTTCTCAGAAGACAACAGGAGATGGCTGGGCCTCTGGACTTGGTGGGGAGCATGTGGAGATATCAGTGTGTAGGGGACACTGGGGAAGGAAACCGAGACCTTAAGAAGATTTTGCCTCTCCCCACACCTCAGTTCCCCCACTGTGACATGGGCACTGTGGACCTCTAGCCTGGGCATGGATTTCTCTTTGGATATAAAAACTAGAGTTTGCACTGTGTCATAAAAAGGTGGGATTAGGGGTCTGTCTTGCCTCCCCCACCCCGCCCTTGCTGTCCCTTAGTGCCCAACACCAGACACTCAAGTGTCCCAAGGCCACACCAGGGCCCAGGCCAGGTTGGGGGCTTCTGCCTGGGCTCCAAGGCACAGAACAAGGCTTGGGGATATGGAGGTGGCTGGGGAGGCCCCGGGCCCCTCGAGGGCCGTTCTGTTTACCCAAGGCCGCCCGCCTGCCTCTGATGCAATAGGCAGGCTCTGGTTACGTGAGGGCAGCAGCTGGAGCAGCTCTGGGAGCAGCCCTGGGAGCGGCCTGAGCTGAGCCGGCTGGGGCTGTCCACTATGGGCCACACCTCTTGCCCCCCATCACTGGGGCTCCTTCCCGTGCTCTTGCCCCTGCCATGTTGCCTCCTTCCACCACTCATGTTCCCAAACTCCCTTCCCATTTCTATCATTCTATCGATTCCATTTCTATCATTCACACTATGATTCTTATAACATCCCCTCCTTTTTGCCTTTGCCCCTCTTCCTGTACTGTATTCTCCATCACTGGCTATGTTACCCCATGTGGACCTCCATCCCCCACTGGGGCAATCAAGAGGTTCAACCTCAGTCTTCTCAGATGAGGGGATACCCTTATTTGCTGGAATAAGAGGTTGGAGGGTTGAAAGGGAGATTTAAGGGGAGAAGGGAATGGAAAAGGCCATAGAGGGAGATCTGGGAAGGGGGCCTGGAAGATGAGGAAGGTAGGGGCAAGTGGAGGCAGGGGTGAGGAGGTGAGGAGATACAAAAGCTGCTCCCTCCCAAGTCTCCCTCCACCAAATCCTCTCCAAGAATGTCAGCAGGGGAAGGCTTTGAATGACCCTCCAAGGTAAGAATAGTATGGTCCACCAGGTAGGGCTTCAGGGCTCCAGAACCCTGAGTCCCCATCCCAGCTCCGACTCCCACTTGCTGTGCAACCTCTGGCCAGTCACTTCACCCCTCTGAGCCTGTTTGCTCAGAGAGCAGGATCCTCTGAGAGTGCAGAGCAGGCCTGAAATAAAAACCAGGATTTGGATCTAAGGGGCTAAGAACAAAAAGCCAAAACTCTTCAATTAAAAAAAAAAAAAGCCAAAACTCAAGTCTGATTCCCATTCTGACCACTGTGGACCAACCAGGGGCAAGTCGCAGCCGTCTTGGGCCTCCTTTTACTCCATCCACAGATGTGAAGGAGCCCGGGTGGGGCATCCAACATGTTACCCAGGGATCCTTTCCAGGCGGCCCCCACCCTCATGGGTGCTAGACTCCCTGCTTGAGTGCTCTGTGCCACGGGGAGCTACCTGCCTCTCTCCTGGCCATCTACCTATTTCTGGGAGTCTTAGTGAGCAGGATCTGGGAATGCCCACTCCCTCCACTCTGGGGAGGTAAGGCTGCCAGCGTATGGGAGCTGGTGCGAGGTCTTGCTGGGTAACCTGGCCTCGCGGAGCCTTGGTTCACTTTCTGAAGCAAGGACGTATAAGGTGAAAAAGGGCAGAGGGTTACGATCCACCCTCCAGTATCAGCCAAGACTGCGGACAACGACCGTTTGGAGGCAGAGTGCTGGGCCAAGGCTTTGCCTCTTGCGTCCCCTGGTGGCCGGCAGGGGCAGGACATTCGCCAGGCACGAAGGGCAAGGTGGCATAAATGAAACGCAAATTAACCATTACCTCTGTAAGCCCTAGGACTTGGGGTGGTGGGGAATTTGACAACCTAGAGTCCTCCACAGACCTCTTTGAGAGGATATATTAGTCGTGGGCTGAAGTCGCGTTCAGGGCTGTGCGTGACAGGGAGCCCTAGAAAAGTCTAGGACACCTCATGACTGCCCCCCACTAGGCTCAAAGCACCTGACCTGTCCAGGGCCGCCCCTGGACAGTTACCTCACTGAGCTGCCCCTATGTCCCTTGGGTCTGTGCCCTGGGGCCAGGGTTGGCCTGTCTGGCTCATCAGGACATCCGCTGGAGAGGCAGGACCCAGCTCAGAGAGGGTGGCCAGTGTTTGCTGGATAAATGGCTGCATGGTAGAAGGACAGATGGACAATGAGAGATGCCTTCAGAGAGGGTAAAGAGAGGGAGTGACTCTATGGGGGTCACACACCAGTCAGGGCCTAAAATAGGGTGAACCTGAGGCTCCTCCCTCCCCCTAAATTGAGCTGGGGCAGTGGGAAGGCAGGATGGTGGCAGGCTCCTAGTACACCTTAGGAGAAAGGGCTGGTCCTGTTGCCTGGTGGTTGGAGGTGGTTATTTCTCAATACCTCCTGTGTCCCTGAACCCCCTGCCAGGCCCTCAGTCCTTCCACAGCCCTGACACCCCCTAGATACACCTCTTGGTGTCTTTGCCACCCTTCTCTCCAAATCACTTCACAGTGCCAAGCTGGGGGAGATCCTCCCAGAGCAGTGGGCCTGGGACCCATCCTGGCTATACCCTCAACGACTCCATTCTGACCTTCCCGATACATTTTGCAGGGCACTGTGTTGGCACACAGCTGGCCCTGGACGTGTACAAACCATGGGCCATGATCTCCCAGGCTTGGAATTCCCAGGGATCAGTGTGGGCTTTTCTGAACTCAGCAGAAACAGACTCAAAATAATTCTGACAAAAAAATTTTAGGGACTCGTGAAACTGAAGAATTGGGATTTGCTAGTATCAGGTACAGCTGGATCCAGGGCCCCATGCAATGTTCTCAGGCTGCCCCTTCTATCTGCCCAGCTCAACAACCACAGAAGGAAGATGGTACTTTTTGCACTTTTCCAGCAAAATTCCAGGGGAAACCTCCCATTGGATCACATGCCCATCTCAAACCAATCACTGTGACCTGGGAGATGGGGGGTTCTGATTAGCCAGGCCACCCCTGGAGCTAGGGTGGCTTCTCCATATGACCTGAGCTTGTGGTGGGCATTTCTTCTTGAGACAGAATGCAGTCCAGGCAGGCAGGTACACAAATGTCTGCCTCAGCCTGTAAAGAAGGTCCAGTCCAGGCTTCCTTGTCCAGGTGGAAAAAGGTAGGACCAGAGAGGGTCAGCATGAGGCCCCATATCACACAGCATGTCAGAGGCAGTGCTGGGGCCAAACTAGGCTGGGGTCTGCTCTCTCTAGTTGTGTGACCTCACACAAATCATGCCGTATCTCAGAGCCTCTCTTATCCCATCTGTATTTGGGGTGACATCTGCCTTACAGGGCTGTCTGAGGATGAAAGATGGCCTTGGTGAAGTTCCCAGCACAGCTCTGGGCACATGGCAGGTGTGTGATCAGGATTGTCATGGTGGCAGTTATTGGTCCAAGGGGCCATGGCCATGGCCGTGTCCATCAATGGGCGGGCAGGTAAGAGTCCAGGGGCAGCAAAGCCTTGTCTCAGGACATTCACGGCTGGCCTGGAGGCCCCAGGCAGGAGCAGAAGGAACACGCTGGCCACACTTGCTTGGTCTTCGGTCCCCTCCAAGTCCCACAAGACTGTGTACGAAGGCCCAGCTCTGGAGGAGCTGAGGGGCAGGAGATGGGTCAAGGCAAGGTCTGAGAGACTCCCCAGGGTGGCAGGGTAGCCCTGATGAGGTTGTAGCTGAGGCAGGGTCCTGGGTGGGGCCAGAGGAAGAGGTGAAGCACTGGGGGTTAGAGGGTCTGGGTGTGAATCCTGGCATTTCTGGTCATGGGCAGTGACCCTGCTTTGCCTTTCTGAGCCTCAGTTTCCTCTTCTGTAAAATGGGGCTGTGTGTACAGCCCTGGGCCTGGAGAGGTAGGGGAAACCAGGGAAGGCCAAGACTTGACCCTGTGAAGGTCACCTACAATCCCAGGGGCAACAGGTTGGGGGAAAGTGGGGGTGGAGGCTCTGAGAGAGGAGAGTGGGGCCGCAGTTCTGTGGAGCAACAGAGCAGGGTCTGTAGGGACAAAGGTGGGATAGGAGCCCCAGAGCATTTCGTTCTGAAGGGGCACAGCAGTGGAGGGACAGCAGATGATCCAGCATGTTTCTAGCTGGCCTGGAGGCTCCAGGCAGGAGCAGGAGGAACACACTGGGTGTGGAAGGTGTGGGAGGGCAGCAGCACAGCATCCTTGAGGCTCGAGGGTGAGAGGGACCAGGGCACAAGGTATAGAACAGGGAGATGGTGGGGTCTGGGCCCAGGGCTGGTGGGCAACACTGGGTGGAGAAATGCGGTGGGTTTTCTGACCCCCTTAGCAGCCCCTCTTGCTCCAGGCCCTCCCAGATGTTCCCCAGGCGATCCCACAGCCTGTGGGATTCCTCGCCACCCCTCTTCCCAGAGCTAGGCTCTGCACACAGCAGGGGCCCAATAAGACTCTCTGACTGCACACCCATGAATTCTGCTGCCTCTTGGCTCTTGGAACTGCTGTTCTAGGTGCTGTGGGGCCCTGTGCTCACCCATGCTTCCCCTGACCCTCTGAGAGGGCCTCCACAGCACGGAGAACCATCACAGCAAATGGGCAGGGGGCTCCGAAAGCTACACAAGCCAGGGGCTCAGTAAGTCCCCTAGGCACCTCCAATCTGCCCATGTTTGCCCGCATGAGCACAGAATAACAAGACACCAGGCTGTTCTTGGCGCCATGCTCTCCTCATATGGTCAACTACACCTCCCAGTCCTGAAGCCCTCCTGCAGTCCTCGCCCATCTGGTCCTGGTTCTGGCCACGTGACTGGCTGTGACCAGTGGGACATCTGTAACCGTGAAGCAAGGGGAGGCTGGATGAACATGTGTACAACTGGGTGCCCAACCCCCAGGAGAAGCCTGGGCTGGCCTGCTGGAGAGGCCATGTGGAGAATTAGACCTGTTCCCTGACCTCTGCAGCAGACCGCACCAGTCAAGGGCCAGATGTGAGGCTACCTCTGCCTATCTGGCCCCATCAAGCTCTGACAAGAGCCACAAGTGGCCCCCAGTTGAGCCCAACAAAACTGCCTGGCTGAGTCCAGCCCAAATGGCAGAACTGTTAGCAGGCAAGTGATTGGCATCGTAAGCCACTAAGTTTTGGGATAGTTTGTCATGCAACAGTAGCTGACTGCTCTAACACACATCATTGTATGTGGCAGCACCCTCTCTGCCGCCTAATGAACCACTTTGACAGAAGGGAAAAGCAGAGACCAGAGTGGGGAGGGACTCACTCAGGGTCACATGGCAGATCAGTAGTGGAGCGAGGATTCCAGAGAGGGGTGGATACCTGCTGTGCTGGGCTCTGCCTGAGACAATGTGTGTGGGTAAAGCAAGCAGCTAGCATGTGGCCAGGCTGGGGAAATGTGGGCTCCCCTCCCTGTTCTGGGGACGGGGGTCCTTTGGAATGGGACAGGGCCTATGGCCTGGATAAGGGGCAGGAAGCTGGCAGAGAGAGCACAAGGGAGATGGGCTGACCAAAGGACTGAGCAGCAGAGGGCACAGGTCCCCTTCCACTCCAGCCTCCCACTAATAAAACCATCTTACAAGCTTAGGAAGAAAGCCCAACTGGTTAGTCGAGCAGGTCCCTTCTTGGATGTCAAGAGCGTGGGTTAGTTCAGAGCACGGAGCACAGAGAGGCTTACAGCCCCGCTTAGCACTGACCTGGGTCAGAGGGGCCAAAGCACCTCCAAGTCTCTTCTGGGATCAGGCCGAGGAGGGCGGGGGCAGTTCCTCAGGGCTGGAACAAAACATGTGCAATGTCCATGAGACTGAGGTCAGAGGCCCTGAGGCCTGCTCGGCTAGCCTGGACTGCACATTGGGGTCGTGCTCCAGTCCCCCAAGACCCCTGGCCTGAGCCTTCAGGGCAGCCTCTGTAAAAATGGGACCAGCCACCCACTTTCAGAGGTCATGGCTGGTACTCACGTAGGACTGGGGGCTTCAAACGCCCAGGACTTGCAAAGAGAGGTCTTAGCAGGTAAACAGCTACTACTCAGGCTGCCACTAGTGTCTTTCAGAAGCATGTATTTTCACAACAGCAGGCACAAGGAGGGCTTTTTGGAAGCACTTGGGAAACTGCGTTGAAAGTAAAGGCTATGGTTTTTCAAGGACCTACTGTGTGTAGGGGTGTGCTCTGCAAAGCGCTTTACATAGTGAACTCCAGTCCTAATGGCTGTCACCAGCCTGGGGCCAAGCAGCCAGAGCCAGTTGGTTATTTGGTGCAAATGATCCCAGGTGAACCCCTCTTCATGCCACCCTCATGTGCAGGTCACCACACATCCATTCTTACACATTCACAAGGCTTTTTTGTTTTTGATGATTCTTGTGTCTTGGTTATCACAAATAGCAACACAGAGGTTTTTTTTTTTCTTTCTAAATGCCTGGTCGGGGACAGGCATGCCAGAACCCGAAACTGCAGGGCCAGACACATCTCAAGGCTTACAGCATGTGCACGTATGCACAAATGCATGTTTATTAAGTTACAATGAAAACAAGACCAAAAAGATCTACTTCTCCAAAATCTCTCTCCCCAGTCGCAAGAACTATAAATATTTTTCATTTCTAGACCATCTGGTCATCGCCTCAAAGCCTCTTTCAGCTCTGGGCAGCCTCCTTGCTGCCTTCGAGGCCCCGCCCACCTCCCTTACCTCGCCTCCCCCTCGTGCACCTACTCCAGCCACACCCAGCTCACCAGGCCTAGGGCTTCTGCCCCTGCCACCACAGTGCCTGGAACACTGACCCTGGGTCACCTCTGCCCGCATGTCATTCAAGCCTCTGCTCACACCTCTGTCACTTCCTCAGAGAGACCCCCACAGCCCTCTTCCTTTACGCACGTCTGAAATGTTGTCTGTTCCGTGTTTACCTGGTTGCCGTGCGTCTCCCTGTGAGAACATGGGCACACCTGTCTTGGTCGCTGCCATGTCCCTGGCACCCAGCCCAGGGCCAGGCACCCGGCAGAGCTCAGGAGCTGGGTGCTGAGAGACTGAACTCTCCTGCTACAGACGCCAAAGGGCAAGAGGAAGTCACGAGACATCGTGAGACAAAGAAAGGGAGTTGTCTAAGGAGCGAGCAGTGGCAGTTCCTGGCTGAGCAGCGGAGGTCCTGACAGCAAGGAGGCTGAGAGCAGCAGGGGAGGGTGGTCCCGGGAGCTACCTGTGGCCCTGGGCTGTGGCGTTCATGTGGTCTCGGATGTTGATGGCCTGTTTGAGGAGACCCTCCACGCTGCGGAAGTAGACGCTGCTGTCGACAAGGTTCTTCACAGCACTGAAATGGGAGGATGGACTCAGTCGGCGCCATGCTGCTTCACCCCAGAGACAGAGCTCCATGGATGCCTGCACTGGTGTGTGTCAAGCACCTGGGGATTCCATGGGCTTCCCTCGGGGCTCACCGTGGGCTTAAAGTTTAGTTTTCTTATGCGACAGAGCACTCAATGGCAACACGCAACTTTCACATTGAGGCTGCTAGACCATCTAAAGCTTTGAAGGAGCCGTAAATGTACAAAGATGACCTAAAAAAATCTTGCTTTCCTCTTAGGTCACCTATTCCTGCCCCTGAAGGAAGCCTGTCAACCCAACTGTGAAAAGCTCTAAGAGGTGAGTTTAGGCTCATCACCATTTGAGAGGCGCTACCACAAAGCTGTGCTAAGCTCTGGTGTTGGTACCACACTGATGAATGTCTAATGAAAATGGTCCAGTTGTGGGGAAGGAGGGATAAACTGGGAGTATGGGACTGGCAGACACAAACTACTATGTACAGAATTGAGAAACAACAAGGTTCTACTATGCAGCACAGGAAGCTATAGTCAATGGCCTGTAGCAACCTGTAATGAAAAAGAATACGCAAAAGTATATATATATAACTGAATCACTAGGCTGTACACCAGAAACTAATGCAATATTGTAAATCAACTATACTTCAATTTAAAAAATTTTTAAAAATGAAAAAAGAAAAGAAAAGAAAAGAAAAGAGAAAAGAAAAGAAAAGAAAAGAAAAGAGCCCCTCCCAACAGCACTACAGGAAAATATTCACCAAGCCACTCCAGCCTTGCTAATGTCAGAAAGCTGCCTGTGCGATGATGCCTGCAGTAAAAATATAAGGGTGGTTTTAAAGTCCTTCTATTAAAGACAAAGAAATCACTTCCATTTATTACCAGTCAGGGACCTGCTTGAAAATGGCCATGAGATCAAAGGGGAGGGAGCTTGGTTGTCACCTGCTCTGTTGACAAACTCATCTGACACCAGCAAACGTGGTCAGCTTTTCTAGTGTCTGTTCACCTTGATAAAAAGCTGTCTAACTTATGTTACCATTGAATAGTAACAGATTCATTATTACATCTCACTATTGAATAGTTCACCCCTATCAATATGCCATTTTAACATCTTTCAGATTATTTTTTAAATTTTAATTTTTTTTTAAATGGAAGTACTGGGGATTGAGCCCAGAACGTTGGTCATGCTAAGCGTGAGCTCTATCACTAAGCTACAACCTCCCTTCACATCTTTCAGTTCTACACCAACCATTAAAGCATTTCAAACAACTAAAAGGGTGCTTTCATGTCTGTAGAGGAAATACAGTCTTTCAGCATTAGAGAAATTTACGCCTATCTAAAGAGAAGTGCTGTGAGTACACTGGCCCTCTGCCTGGCCCAGGGCAGTCCAGTAGAACAAATGATGGACAAATCCTTTATCCACTGAAGTTGCTCTAAGCACCTGAAAGGTGGCTAGTGAGACTGAGGAGCTGAATCTTTCATTTTATTTCATTTTTATGCATTACAATTTAAGTGTGAACAGCCACCTGGGGCCAGGGCTCCTGTACCGGACAACGAGGCTAGACGAACTGGGACGAAGTACACACTTTGATCTGTTCTTCCTTGAACATGGGCCTTTCTGATGAGCCCTTGGCTTTCTGGGAGCTGCCAGAGAAACTCCCCTTTCTTTTCTCTCTTTCTTGAGCTAAGGTAGGTGTCTGCGACCACCACCCTCAGGAAGATGTCATCTGTCTGGGTCACCCTCCCACCTCAGTGGAGAGGCCAAGGCTGCTGATGGCAGAACTCAGCTCAGTGCCCCCAGAAGCAGGACTTCCTGTCAAGGGACCTTCGATCACACAGCAAACAGGCAAGCAAACCCCACAGCACCACACACGAGAACTGCTAGGGAGTGTCCAGTCTCCACCAAAACAATCCACAGCCTGTACCGGGGCCAACAACACTTCTAAGTAAAGTCACCAAACTCCCAAAGCAAACAGAATGAGCCAGAGCATGAAATACAATCATGGGGAACCAACAGAATCACAGGAGGCGAGGCCGGCAAAGCTGCTCTGATGGAGAGAAATACCAACTACTGCTTTTTATTCTCAGGTACAACTTTCACTTGGGGTTAAGAAAAATATCTGAATATCTAAAGAAAGTTAAATCAGCAAAAATAATAAATGGTGTATCTATGTTCATAGCAACTTTATTCATAGTAGCTAAAACATGGAAGCAACCCAAATGTCCATCAACAGATTAATAGATAAGCAAAATGTGGTCCATCCATACAATGGAATATTATTCAGCCCCCAAAAGGAAGGAAATTCTGACACAGGCTACAACATGGATGAGCCTTGAGAATATTATGCTAAGTGAAAGAAGACAGTCACAAAAAGAGAACTATTGTGATTCCACTTAAGTGAGGTGTCTAGAATCATCAGATTCTTAGACAGAAAGCAGAATGCAGGGTTCCAGGAACCGTGGGGTGGGGAATGGGAAGTTAGTGTTTAATGGGGACAGAATTTCAGTTTTGCAAGATGCAAAGAATTCTGGAGATGGATGGTGGTGATGGTTACACAGCATTATGAATGTATGTAATACCACTGACCTCTACACTTTAAAATAGCTAAGATGATGAATTTTATGCTAGGTGCATCTTACCAAAATACAAGAAATTGGAAAGAAATTAAAATTTAAAAATAAACAGTCATATTCAGGTTTTGGCCCGACCCTCAGCTGCCATCCACCCCCCTGGCCAGTCTGTGGTCTTCACTGTCAGTGGGAAACGCTGGCCCCTCGAGGCACCGGCTTCCTGCCCAGGTGGCATCTCCCGGAATCCTTATCACCTCCCCCTCCTATGACAGATGGGGAAGGACTGAGTGCCAGAAAGAAGCCTGCCCCAGGCACATGGGGGTCAAATGGTGAGAAGCTCAACTCTGGGCTGGAACCTGCCCTGTGGCCAAGTGAGTCCAGATCCATATGCCTCTACTCAGATGGGTTTGGCAGGGCAGGCTGACATGGCAGTGGGCTGAGATGCCCCTGAAGGCGCAGGAGGTGACCCCGGGGCATAACAGGGCAACCCTGGCAGTGGGGAGGCTGTGGGGCTCACCTGCAGGCATACTCCACTGTGTAGATGGCTCCCTGGCTCTGCTCCTCCCACCGCTGCATGTCAGCCTGTTGGGGCGAGGGGGCTGTTAGCAGGGGTGGCTGCTACTTCCATCCTCCCAGCTCTCTGGGAAGGCACATCCGATCGCCAGTCACCATGGCTATAGAGACCGGTCCCCTCCAGCCCCTGATCTTTCCTTCTCAAACTCCCATTCCTTACCAGTCTGGGCTTTCCAGGAACATTTGGCAACTATGCCTCAGGGCCTTCACACAGGCTATTTCCTTTGCCTGGGACATCCTCCCCTTGGGTCCTCATATAGCTGCCTCCTCCTCACCACACAGGTCACAACTGATGCAGACCCTTCTGTTCTCTTCTTCCAAATCTGCCCCAGCTCTTTCCACCCAGCTCCAACCTGGGTCAGTGACCATGTTCCCTGACACTGGTGTCCCAGCCTTGACTGCTAAACCAACAGCCCCTGCTCCACACAGCAGGCCCCAGGCCACAAGGTGCAGACCTTGTGAGACATTGGGAGTAGGGCTCACCTTATGCTGGGCCAGCTCAGGCAGAGAGCGTCGCACGTGCTCCTGCAGCCGGTACAGGGCCACGGATGGCTCGTTGGCCAGGACATAGACGCTCTCAGTGAATTTGTCTGTGACTGGGTCCAGGATCGACAGTTGGCAAAATGGGGGGTGGGGGGCGGGGGAGAAAAAGAGGGACAAGGAGACAAAACATCAGACTCCTGATTGCTCATGAGTCCAGCTAGAGTAGAGAAGAGTCCAGTGTCCCTCCCCGCAGCTGGGTCACCTGTGGCCCAGGTGATGCACTGTGGGAGTTGGTCACAGCAGGGCCTCAATCTTGAGGACATCAACCTGTCCAGTGAACTCATGATCTTTCCCTTCCCAAACCCACTTGTAGAGGACACTGCTGCCACCCACTTGTATCCATTCACATTCCCTTTACCCCAGTGACAAAATTCCAAGATTCTTCTTCAGAGGATGCCCACTGGCTACTGGACCCAAAAGTGACAGAAAGTTAACACCCATGGATGGCTCTCAGCCATGACTAACCACCGAGGGGTATGAAAACCCATGTCCCGTCCTGTGTGCTGCAACATCTCAGAGGCACAAGTCATACCTGTGAGCACCCCTGAGGGAACAGGCTGAGGCCTCCCTCTGTGCAATTTACCTGAGGTCATTCCTTGCTTAGCCTCTTCCCTGGCCCTGTCTTGTCTCCCCTTCTCCTCTGTGGGGTTCTCTTGGTAAGTTAATCGCACACAAATCCTCATCCCAGGGTCTGCTTCAACAAACAGCAGCTAGCTGGTTGTCCCTGCCCATCCTACCCCATCAATGAGCAGATCCTGCTGGCTGAGTCACAAAACAAAGCCCCAAACTCACTCATTCTTACCACTGCTCTGACCCCACTGATCTAGGTGTAGCCTGTCCCACTGAGATGGCAAACTCAGCTCCTCCCTGGTCTCCCTGCTTCCCCACCTGTCAACAATCCAATCCTCACGAAACAGACGGAATGAGCTCCTAATAAACATATTAGATATGTCTCTCCTCTGCTTGAAACACTCCCATGACTCCCAGCAGCCTGAGAATTAAATCTGCCTTCCTCAACATGGCCCAGAAGGCCCTATATGTTCTGCCTGCTGTTGCCCACCTCTGCCCCAGGCACAATGACCTCCTGCTTGTTCCTTACACTCTCAGCAGTGTCCAAAAGAACTTTCTGAGATGATGGGAAGGTTCTATAATCTTTACTGTCCAATATGGTAGCCACATATGGCTACTGAGCACTTGAAATGTGCTCACTGGGTCACTGATGTGACTCAGAATCCGAATTTTAAATTCTACCTAATTTAAATTAACATAAATATGCATAAGCACAGTGACCAGTAGCCAGTGTATTGTGGCACAGTTCTGAACACTCTGCCACCTCAGGACCTTTGTACCTGTTGTTCCCACCACTGACATTGCCTCCACCAACCCCTTGTTTCTCCTCACCCCTCATGTCTCAGCTCAAATGTCACCTCCTGGGTAAAGTCTTCCCTAATTACCAAGCTTAATCAATCAGATGTCCCTTCAACTTCATTCTCAACCTCAGCACTTTGTTCATTTCCCTTATACTTAAATTCTCATTCTTTGTTAGGTTACATGTTTACCTAAAACTTCATTTGTGAGGGCAGGGGCTTCGCTGCGCCTCAGTTTCCTCATCTGTAAAAACGGAATGATAACTGTACCCACCTCAAGGTCTGCTACAGAGATGGACCCACACTACTGCCCAGGGCATTGTGGTTGGTGAGGGAAAGAACCCACATGTGTCTGGGAGTCAAGAGAGGCTGTGCCTGAGTCTGCCCAGTTTAGATGTGTCCAGTGTACCACTGTGCCCTGAGTTGGGCAGAGCCCAGCCTGCCACCTCCAAACTCTTGTGTCCTCTTACTCTCTTAGGCCTCCTCATTTTGAAAATGAGTGTAGTACTAATAGCTTACATTTCACAGTGTCATTATGGAGAACGTGGAGTTAAATGTACTTGTGACTTTTTTTTGGAAATAATAATAATAATAACTATTATTATTATTGTTGTTGTTGTTATTATTATATTATTATTATTAAGGAATCCACTTCTATGATTGTCATGAAGCCCAAGCTGGGTTAACAGTGACAAGCTCTGGAGGTAACTATAACCCACTCTGGACGTTCTGGTTATAACCATTGTCTCCTCTATCTCAACTGAAAACCCGTACACATGAAGCCTCAATCTCAAACTTCTCTTCCTGGAAGATGCCAAAGCCAACTATGTGAGAGGTTTTATCAGTGGAGAAGACGACTATGTCTTCCCAGAAGACAAATCCTCTACTTTGCTTTATGAGGCAGATAGCAACCCCAAACCACCAACAGGTTGGGACCTGCGCAGGCCTCAATTAAATGTACTTGTGACTTCTGAATAATTAACTAGTAAAAACGTATATAATACAGTAACAAAAATATTTATACTTTAAAAATAGCTTGTGGCATTTTGTAACTTGTAACTCGGTCATATTGGATAAGTCAACGTAAACACACAAATGCGTAAATACAAGGGAAACCATACACATAGCAATTGCCACACCCCAAACGTTCTTCCAATGCTTTACAAATATCAGGTAACTGAATTCTCACAACAATTTTGTGGGGAGAAGTAGGGAGACTATTCTACTCCCCATTCTACAGATGACAAAATCGAGGCACAGGGATTTTCTAAAGGTTTCAAAACTAGTCAGCGGCCGAGCCAGGATTCCGCAGCAGCTCAACCACTGCCCCCTAAACGCTCTCCCTCCGTGCCTTGGCTCCTTCCTGCCCCTAGTCAGGTCGCCCTTCCGCCCCGCTCGGCACCCCGCACCACCTTTTTTCCCCTTGAGCTGCATCTCAGGTTCTTCCATCGCGGCCACGGCCCTGTTCCGACGACCGGGACCGGAAGTCAGGAGGTGGGGACAACTGCCTAAATCTTCCCTGCGAAACTGGACTCCGCACCTCTCCAGTTCCTGTGCTAATTGGCCCGCCTTCCCAGATCCTTCGTCTACCCAGACAGAAGAGGGTCCGTGAGTGAGAGACTGGGGAAAGAGGCACTTGGGAAGTGGGTAAAGAGAGGACAGCGACCCCTTGAAGTTCCAGGAGGGACACTCAGGAGGGGGACGGGAAAGGGCGCCCTCTCTTACCGAACACCTTTTTCGGGGGCTAGACGAATTGGGGGACCACTCCACACATTGCCCACTTTAGGCCGTATAAACTCCCTTCTTGTACCCCTCCAGCTGCCATCAAATCCCTGCGCATGCTCCTGAGCCTCCAGGACCGCAGAGGGCACATTGTTATGGACAGGGGCGGCAGTGGTGTCGCCCCTTTAAGTTCCAGACGCCCCTCCTAATTCTCTCCCGCCCTCCTACTGGAGAAAGCCCGACCCGTGTTTCCGAAGGTGGAGCCGAGTGGCTCTGCCTGAAAAAAAATCTGTGGGCCGAATTGGAGGTGAGGGAGGACCAGCGCAGGGAACTCCAGAGAGCTCTCTGAGGCCCCGCCCATCCCCCCGAACCTACTGGGCTCCCGCCGGAGCCCCTAGGACAAGAATGCGCAGGCGCAATTGCATTTCTAATGCCCCCAGCGGAAGCCACGCCCCTCCCCCGAGCCTTAAAGGGCCAGAAGCAGCACCTACTGCTCCGGCCCTTCCGCACTTTTGTGGGGCTGGGTGCGCAGGCGCAGTGGGGGAACTCTGGAGTGGGGGTAGCGGTCGCGTATCAAGTTGCTCTCTGTCCGGGCAGAAGAAGCCAGGGCGCAGAGGGTCCAGGCTCTATCTTGCTCCCCCCTACATCAGTTGGAATAGAAAAGTTTGTGAATTGGGCCCCCAAGTTTGGGGGGACCCGGGATTGCGGCGTGGGGTGACAAAGGAGGCTCGTTAGAGGTGAGTGGACCTCCTCGATCGGTTTGGGAGGGGCGGGTGGGATGCAACCAATCACATCTTTGTTGAGCCCTCACTCATTAACTGGGATTTCGACCCCCTCCCCCAAAAAAACCCACACCGAACATTTATTAAGTTCTGTCCGTGTATCAGGCCTCCTGCAGATATGATGTTTACAGACATGATTTTTTAGGCCTTATTTCCCCATTTTATTAATGAAGAAACTGAGGCTGAGAGAAATTGTCATGTGCCCGAGTTTTCACAGCTATAAAAGTGGAAGGATTCAACCCAGATGGCTGACCACAGAGCCAAGGCTTTTAAAGCAATACATATTGTATATGGGGAGGAGTGGGTCTGAGAAGCAGTTGGACTCTGTTGGGTTTTTTTTGGGAGGGGTGATTAGGTTAATTAACTTTTTAATGGAGGTACTGGGGATTGAACCCCGGACCTCGTGCATGCTAGGCATACACTCTACCACCGATCTATGTCCTTCCCAATTGGACTCTGGTTTTAATTTCCCTGCTGAGTCCAAGTTTACCCACACTCACTGTGCAACGCCAAAGTATGCCTAATTAATGAGTTGATAATTATTGCTATCTCACCCTGTTTGGCCCTTACACCAGCTTCCCCCATGGAGCCCACCCAGCCTGCAGAGGATCTCAGCCTGACCCAGCAGCCTTCCACCCCAGAATTTGGGGACCCTGAAGACCCTCAGGATGAGGCCCCTGATGGCTCAGACACGGTGGTCCTCAGTCTCTTCCCCTGTACTCCAGAGCCTGGGAATCCTGAACCAGATGCTGGCAACTCCTCACCTCAGGGTAGGGTACTTCCCCTGTACTCCTGCCTCTGGGGTGCAAGAATGGTGGAATTTCAGACCCAAGATGGGACCTCTGTCATTATGTCCCTCTCCACCCAGTGAAGGATTGCTTATCTGTTTGTTTTTTTTATTGTGGTAAAATCCACATAACATAAAAGTTACCATTTTAACCAGAATTGCTTATAATTCAATGGCAGTAAGTACATTCACAATGGTGTGTAACATCTACCTCTACGTAGTTCTAGAACATTTCCATCACACCAAAACAAAAACCCCAGACCCATCAACAGTCACTCCCCATTCACCTCCTCCAGCCCTTGACAACCAGAAATCTACTTTCTGTCTCTGTGGATTTGCCTTTTCTGGATATTTCACATAAATGGGTTCATACAACATGTGGCCCTTCCTGTCTGACTTCTTTCACTCAGCATGATGTTTCCGAGGTTCACCCACATTGTAGAGTGTCAGTGCTTCATCCCTTATATAGCTGAATAATATTGCATAGTGTGGATGGACCGCATTTAGTTTGTTCATTCAACCGCTGATGGACATTTGGATTGTTCCCCTTTTAGTGACTGAATAGTGCTGCTGTAAACATTTTTTGTCTGAAAACATGATTTCAACTCTTTAGGGTAGATGCCTAGGAGTGGAATGGCCAAATCAGATAATTCTATGTTTGACTTACTGGGGACCCAAGGATTTCTTTTGATTGGAATCTAACTCAGTCTAACTGGAGCCTAACTCAATCTAACATGTCTAACTCAGTCCCCCCAGGGCCTTTGTCCCTGCTGTTCCCTCCATGTGGACTGGTCTTCCCATACCTCTCCCCAGGTTTCTTCAACTGGCCAAGCTCTCAGTTGGTGTCACCTCCTTGGCGTGGCCCTGACTACATTTTCTCAAAGAGACTCACCCCCTGCCCTCCCTTCTTTCCACCTCATTCTGCCTATGTTTCATTCTCCTGAATGTGTATCTCAACTTGAGCTTTCATTCTGTTTCTCTGTTTCTGTCTGACTCCACGGCTTGTCCATGGGCCCCTTGAGGGCCTTTTGTCTTGTATGCGCAGAACCTCGCCAGGCGTGGAGAAGTACATACCCTGGGTATCTGGGAGGGTGGAGTGAGTGGATAGTGGAGTCAGAAGCTGTCTTTGGTAGTTCCAAGCCCCTAGGGTCCGGCCTGAAGCCCAAGACATACTGAGGGGAACCTGAGGCCCTCCCTCTCTCCCAACAGGCAGCTCCCTGAAGCACTCCACAACCCTCACCAACCGGCAGCGAGGGAATGAGGTCTCGGCTCTGCCGGCCACCCTGGATTGTGAGTGGGCCTCCGGTCCCCAAGGGGGAGAGAGGTAGTGGGGTGGCAGGGGCTGAGAGGAGCAACTCTGGACAGGAATAAACTGAGGTGTGGAGCAGGGATGGGACAGGTGAGGACTCTGCCTCTCTCTGGCCCCCAGCCCTGTCCATCCACCAGCTTGCGGCCCAGGGGGAGCTGAGCCAGCTGAAGGAGCACCTGAGGAAAGGTGTGTGCCATGTGCATGTGCCGGTGTCTCCATGCCTGTATGACTTCGCAGGCTGGTGTGTGCATGTGGGTGCTGACGTGACCTGAGTCTCCACACGTGTACCTGTGTCTGTGTGTTTGAGCGCGTCCACGTATGTGCCTCCACATGTGTGCCCCCCCAACGTCCTACCCCAGCCGCCTGCCCCACCCCAACTTCTGCAGCGTTGGGGAGAGTGGGCAGGGGTGCATCCCAGTGGTACCACCCCTCCTCCTGCCAGGCGACAACCTCATCAACAAGCCGGACGAGCGAGGCTTCACCCCCCTCATCTGGGCCTCTGCCTTCGGAGAAATTGAGACCGTCCGCTTCTTGCTTGAGTGGGTGCGTCCCAGCACGGCTGGGGGCTTCCTGGGGACTTGAGGGCGGGCAAAGGTCTCAGCTGAGTCTGCTGGTACTGTGTCTGTAAGACAGAGCTGCCTTGGGGACCCCATGATTGCAGGGAATATCCCCACACCTCCCTCTGCTCCCTTCAGGGTGCTGACCCCCACATCCTGGCCAAGGAGAGGGAGAGTGCCCTGTCACTGGCCAGCACGGGTGGCTACACGGACATCGTGGGGCTGCTGCTGGAGCGTGACGTGGACATCAACATCTATGACTGGGTGAGGCGCCACCCACTGGCCCTGGGTTCCTCACAGGGTACCAGACCTGCTCTGGGTGATAAAAACCCAAGACAGACCCATCCCCAAGCCTTACAGAGCTCCCAGTTTTTTGGGGTGGGGGTAGTTAGCAGACATATAAACAGTCAGCTCAGATGCAGTGAATAACACTATGTTGGCAGATAAGCAAGACAGCTAGCTACAAGGGCCCAGAGGCCACCTGTACAGCCAAGGGAGGTCAGGGTGGGCTTCTTAGAAGAAGCTGAGACCCACAGGAGAAGCTAGTTGGGCCAAGTGACCAACAAGAGGGGGATCCACATTAAATTGGAGGGTGTGGGGTTTTGTGAGAATCTGGAAAAGTTGGAGTGTTGGTTGCCCCTGCCCCTACAGAATGGAGGAACGCCACTGCTGTACGCTGTGCGCGGGAACCATGTGAAGTGTGTGGAGGCCTTGCTGGGTGAGTGGGAGTAGAGGCTGGCCCTAGTGGCCTTAGAGCCCCAGTGGTCCCTGCAGGGATACTGAGGGCCAGGGATGGGTTTGAGCTCTGCTTGAACAGCTCTTGGGACGGGTGGTCACTGCCTGCTTTCCCCAGAGGATTGATATGGGGACAGGAGGTGGTAGGACAGCCCAGGGGTTTGGCCGACTAGGTTGAGCACCCACCCTCCTGCCTCATAGACCCTGGAGGTGGAGATTCTATTGGCCACGTTCATCAGAGAAGTTAGGCTCTCATGTAAGGCCACACAGGCAACCGGCAGACCTGTGGCTGCATTGTAGTAATCACAGGACCATCCAGGTCTCCATGCCCAACCCAGGCTCCCGGTCCCCAGGCCCAGCCCACTCTGTAGCCCTGCTCTGCTTTGCAGCCCGAGGAGCTGATCTCACCACGGAGGCAGACTCTGGCTACACCCCGATGGACCTCGCCGTGGCCCTGGGATATCGGAAAGGTTGGCCTGAGACACGTAGGGGCAGTGACATGGTGCTGTAGGTGGGATGACCACAGAGGGGAACACAGGACATCACATCCCTCTTGGATGTCAGCAAACATCAAATGCCACTATGTACTTGGCCTTGGCACATGCCAGGCCCAGCTCCCAGGGCCCCTTTAGAAAGTAGGAAGATCCTAATGGATCCAAACCCCTGGGGTCACGGTGGGGCTTGGGAAGTATCCCACTTTTTCCTTCAAGGAGTTTTATTCCATGTGAGACAGAGATAATTCCTCACGGTCCCTCTCATCTTTTTATAAAAGTCACAGTTTGCCAATTTTGTTTGGTAAGGAGTATTTTTTATAACTGAAAAACCTCAAAAATGCATTTTTACAACTTCAGGGAAATTGAGGTTCTTAGGATGGGGGCCTCTTGTCTTCCTAGCTGTGTTCTGGCAAGAGTCTGAATTTCCCTGTGTATGAAATGGTTCCTCTGTCCAGGTTTTAGAGCTGAGAGGCCCACATTCACACACTGAGCAGAGGTTACAGGTTGGCCTGTGCCTCTGCAGCTGCAGTCAATTCATGGCCCACCTTTCCCTATCCTGTTTCCAGTGCAACAGGTGATCGAGAACCACATCCTCAAACTCTTCCAGAACAACCTGGTGCCCACCGACCCCGAGTGAACACCGTCTGCCGGGTACTCAGACACTCAGGGAACAAAATGGTCAACCCAGAGCTGGGGGAACCCAGACCTGGCTTCAGAGGCAGCTCCTGGACAGACGGTGGGAGAGGGCCCTTTCTGAGAGGAAACAATAAACCTTCTGTGCAGAACTTGTAGAGCTTTGCTGTGCTTCCCGGAGGGCTTCCTGGAGGAAGCAGCCACAGGCCTCACACCTTTTTTTCTCCTAGTACTCGCAGGTGGTAGATGACCACTCGGCCGAAGAAATCAGTGGTGTTCTCAAATGTCACTTTCAGCCGGTCCACCTCAGCAGCTGGCACAGGGAAGGTGTAAGCAGAGCAGTCAAGGGAAACAGGGGCCTTACTATTTCCCACCTACCAGCCCCAGCTCAGATACCCCAACATGCTGGGCAACCTGGCACGCTATGGGCCACTCTGAAGCTCTCGCTCAGAACAGATTATTATCAGCCCATTCTACAGATGAAGCAGTGGAGACCTAAAGGCATCTCGCTCCAGGTCACACACCAGGTCCCACAGCTTTCAGAGGCACAGACCACCCCACCCAGAGGCTGGGGCAGGATATCTGAAGCGAGTTGTTGTCCTCAGGGTAAAAGTCCACAATCTTTCCAAAGGCCTCACTCCCCTGGGAACCTGCAGTGTAGAAAGGACCAGACCGTGAGGTCGGTGTGCCCCCTCAAATCCCCCACCTTCTAGGACCTTCCGGTACCTTCCAGGCGGCCCTGGTGACAGGAGAAGCCCCCTTGGAACTGGATCTGCAGCTGGGAGACACAGATGCGCTGGGGAAACTCCAGTGTCACCCACTGGGAGGGGCCCTGGAAGCAGATTGAAGCAGAGGCCCACGGTCATTCTGGGCTCAGAGCCCTGCTATGCATGTCTCTCATTCACACAGTCTGTGGTGGGGGTACACAGGTTCCTTCCCTGGCCAATCTGACTGTTCCCATCTAGGGTGCCCTAAAATTCTAGGACCCTTGATTCTAACTCACACTTGGGGTGGAGGGTCCGGAGAGAAGGTGCCTCACCTGGTCTGAGTTCCAGCATGTCTCCTCGTCCTGGTCGAACAGGTGCTTCTTTCCAAACTGCCTAGTGTTACGATTCAGCACCGAACTCACCCTGGAAGCATTCAGAATCAGGGCGTGGAGAGGTGCTGAGCCCAGCGGTGAGGACCCACCTGCTATCTGGCCCACCCCTTCCTCACCACCGGTTCCCCCATTTCTGTCCACCCGGGTCTAACCGCAGGCCAAGAGCCTCGCCCACCATTGGCCGCCTCCGTTCACCTAACCCCACCTGGGCTCTCACCTGCTTATTGTCTCTGGACAAACCAAAGAGTGGGTCATCTCGGCGCCACAAGGCCTCGCAGGATTCAGGGCTTCGCTCAGCCCCGATTTGTATCTCGGCGCCAAAGCAGCCGCAGGGGCGCGATCTCATTCACGTCTCAGACTCTGCACGTCCTCACCTGTAACACGGCACAAGGACCGTCACTGTCCCGTCACTTCACTCCTAAATGTCGCCGTTATCACCCCCTTGCCGGACTGATTAGGAGTTTCGGGGAAACTGTCAATGACTGAAGTCCAGAACTTTCACAGTGGGTCCAAGGAGGGGAACAGGTTTCCTGAGGGCACAACTGCTCCCTCTCCGAGCCTCAGTTTCACTGCGAACAGCTCGGGGAACCAAAACCCATACCCGGAACCGCGTCAACACTGCGCATGCGCAGTGTTACTCAGGTTCGCCCAGCCCGCGCTCCCGGGGCGCGGTTTATTTTGAGCCCCGCCCCCTCAGCGCCCACCTCTTAAAGGGCCCTTGTCCAGTGACTGCGTGTCCCTCGAAGTTGGAGGAAGGCTGGCACCTAAAGCAACTGTGTTACGACTGTGTGCGGGGCGCTGTCCTTTGGTGCCCGCGGGTATAGAGCACTAGTTTTGGAATCCGAGAGATTTCTTATAATGATGTCTTCCTACCGGCAAAATGAAGTCGGCCGGATTCATTCCTTAACTGCAACTGGAGCCTGGGAACCCCTGCACCTCACTGCCTCCCAGAGGCCGAAGGAAGAGTTGAGGAAGAAGCCAAGATGTTGCGAGTACTGGGAGTCTTTATCAGCCTCATGTGTCCCCAAATCCGTCTTCTCAGTAAACGCTGCCAGGGACAGGCGTCTTGGAGGAGGGGGAATGCGTGCTGGATTTTGAAGGATGAACAGGAGTTTACCAAACCGGATTACACAAAGCCTCAGATACATGGCTAAAGATTTGTTTCACTGATTCATTAAACAACTGCCACTCCCTTACTGCCCAGTCCTGTCCTGGGTGATGCTGGAGAATGAGAGAGGCCTCAGCTCCAGCCCCATACCTGAGGATCTCCCAATGTGGGTACGCTAGACACATACACACTCAGCCCTATGGGGCAAGGGCTGAACTAGGGGGAGAGATAGAGCTGGGATAGCAGGGGCTATACCTGGAGAGAGGGTTTCCTGGGAGAGGCGATATTAGGCCTGCACTTTAATGGATGGGCAGAAATTCACCAGGGTGAGGAAAATGGGGAGAGAGGCGTAGGCAGGGAGAACAGCATAAGCAAAGGCCTGGTTGGATGAAAGACCATGAATTTGAATAAAATATGTGGAGCCAGATCCTGCTAGTCCTAAAGCAGTCACGGAAGGTGTTTGAGAAAGGGCGGTTCACCATCCAATCTGCATGAATGGAGGGCTCTGAAACAGAGCAGCCACTGGCAGGAGGTTGCAGTTCCTGGCTTTAACGGAATGGTCTGGGATCCAACCCCTTTTTTCAAGGGCTAGGGGAATGGTCCTCCTGGCATCCTACTAGTGTCTGGCCAAGTCCACACCAGGAGTGGGGGCTGGCTGGGAAACTGGGACACCAGCGGAAGGGCCACTCCATCAGCCCCTGCCTGCCAGGACTTCTTGCATTCAGTCATGGCCTGGTGCCATCCAGACCTCGTTCTGCTCGTCTCAGGGCCGGGGCTGGGGGTCAAAAAAACACCTCTCTACCTACCCCTGGAGGAATTTAGGAAGAGGGTGGACTCCAGAGGGCTTAGATCTGGTTCAAATCCTGGTTGGGTCACTCACTCATGAGCTGTGTGATCTTGTACAAGTATGTTGAGCTCTCTGAACCTCAGTTTCCTCATCTGTGAAATGGAGGGGATTCTATTTACAGGACTGCTGGAGAATTCAGTGGGTGCTTCAGGCTGACACATAACAACAGTGGCTGACCTTTGTTGAGAGCCTACTCTGTGTTTAAGTTGAAGCCACATTTTGTCTCCATCCATTAAAAACCTGACTCATTAAACCTGCTGTGCTGGTCCCAGTCACCACATTTTACAGCTGAGGATACGTATAGCTGCTTGGTCAAGGTTCCCAGGGACGATATGCATGGCCCCAGGGCCCTTCTTGCCACTCCTGGTCTTGGCATGGAGCCATCTCGCCCATTGGGATGAAGCCAGCCTCATACCCTCTTCCCATCTCCCCACCCCACCGGCGCCTGGGCATGAAAGAGCCTCCTGTTTCTCCAAGGAATTAGCAGCTCTAAGCTCCCAGCAGGGCAGCCAAAAGTGGTCCATTCATTTGTCAGAGTGAGAGGAGACTAGGCACTCCCTCCCCCCTCACCCCAGGGGAAGGGGTAGAGAGAGCTCTAGAAGAGCAGGAGCTGCAACTCTGGTTTAGTGAGGGAAACTGAGGCACAGAGAAGGCATTTGGCTGAGGTCACCCAGGGGAACCGGGATTCAAGCCCTAGTCTGTCTCTGGAGTTCCCACCACTGAATTGAGTTCTGCATTTTCAGGAGAGGAAATGAAGGCTCAGAGAGGGCCAGGGATTTGCTGAAGTCACACAGCAAGTATGGCTCAGCAGGGACTCTCTTTGAGGAAGCAGCCACACTTATGGCAGAAAACAAATAGCAATTCCCATGGATCTGTCATCCCAGAGTTGGGGGAGGGAGAGGCCCTGAGATAGCTTAGAACCTCCATTTCCCCCTGGGGAGTAAGTGTAATGGTTGCCCTAAGGTTCCAGCCTAGAGAGTCTATGAGGGTGGCTGTGACAGAGTCTCCTTGGCTGGCAGGCCCCATGGGGCAAGTCCTGGTCTGATCTATCCACAGGGCCTGCATAGGTCCAGCAGGGCCCAGCTCTGAGTAAATGGATGCTCACTTCTTTCCATCTGGAATTGTCGGTCCTGGCAGGGTGCAAGCCTGGGTAAGTGGAGGTGACAGTGATATGAGAGGGGGTGGCGAGGCATGAAGGAATTGTGCTGAGCTCACATGGGAACACCCAGGGCCAAGATCGGGTGTGTTGAGTGGCTGTGCTGTGAATATGGCCCCGGGGGGACTGTCTCCGTGTTGGTGACATGGTGTCAAGTGATCTAGGTCGGGTGCTGGCTGTTTGTAGTATGCCCACGGCCATAAGCATGGCTGGGTGTAAACAACATGGGACAAATGTGGGCTGTGTTTGTGGCAGCAGGAGGGCTAAGTTTCAGTGGGTGTGCACAGCAATGGGTGTGTCTGAGTCTGAAAGGACTCTTGGTGTGGCCGGGCTCACGGCTGTGAGTTTGGTTGTGCAGCAGACCCGACCTGTGTGCAGCCAGTTGACGTTGTGTGTGGCCAGGGTGATCTATATGTGGCCTGGCTGGTATGGCTGTAGATGATCTGCCTATGCTGTCACTGTGTGTCTAGGGTATGACTTGGTATTGGTGATTGTTGGTGACATTGTATGTGACAGATGTGAATGTGGTTGCATGTGCCCTGTCTGTATGTCACCTTGGGGAAGTGAGAGGCACGTTGGGGGACACTGTCTACTCAGAGATGCAGCTCTCCTGGAGGGTCCTGCCTCCTTGCTCCTGCTCCAGCCCACCTGCCCCCTTCCCTGCTCCCTCCCCCACCTGCAGCAGCCCCTGGCTGGGGGCCCCAGATGGGGGGGATAGAGAGGGCACTCAGGGCTGGTGGGGGGGAGCGGCTGGCCCATTCCCAGTGCAGGCCTATAAATAGCTCTTTGAGCCCAGCAGATTCCCAGGCAAAGTTGCCTCATTCAAGCCCCCAGCAACAGCCTGCCCTTGGGCCCCAGGCCAGCCCCTCTAAGCTCAGCTCTGGCACCAGCCAGGGGAGCCTGGGGTGGGGAGGAGGGGGGAGTGGAGGAGTAAGGGGAGTCAGGGTGGGAATCAGTTTGGTTCTAAAGGCATAGACCTGGTTCCCACTTGACCCTACTCATACTGTGCAACCAGCCTCAGGCAGGTGGTCCAGTCTCCCTGACCCTCAGTTTCCCCAGCTGGAATACGGGCCATATCATGGTAGCAGCACCCAGCTTGTGTCTTTACTTCCCATTTCATTCTCCCAGCAACCCTGTAAGGTGATTGCTCTTAATTATCCCCGTTTTCAACAGGGAAACGGAGGCACAGAAAGACAAAATGGCTGGTCCAGAGTCACAGTGTTAGGAGTTGCAGAGTTTTGAACTATGGACTCATGGAGGCCAACCTGCAGCTCCCACACACATCACACAACCATACCCAGACTTCTGTCACTGCTGCCTGTCACGTGCAAATACTTAATCAGTGTGATCCCCAACTTCCATCCCTCCTCTGTGATGAGGAGTTGGACAGTAAGCATAGCTCCCCAGTGTCACTTTGGCCCTTAGGGCCACCACTCTCCCACTCCTGAAACAGCGGGCTGACACAGATGTTCCAAGGCAACCTTGCTCCCTTGGGCTTTTCCCCCATCCTTCACTCATTCCCACACCCTTTTTGGTAATTTTGCCAAAACCATTGTCCTCCATTTATCTGTATCCCCCAACCAGACCAAGACCCACCCTCAGAGATGGGCATGCGTGCACACGCGTGCACATATGCGCACACACACACAGATGCAGGACACTAATGGAATGCACAGAGCCTCTCTCCAGTGCAGCCCATTCTCAGTACTGAGAGACTAACACCCTGGAAGGGGCTGACCTCTTTAAGTTTTTGTCCTCCCTCATTTCCATTTTTCATCATGGTAAAATACACAGAACATAAAGTTTTCCATTTGAAAGCATACAATTGGTGGCATTAAGTATATTAACATAATTGTGCAGTCATTGCTACTATCTAGTACTAGAACATTTCCATCACCCCAAAAGAAAATCCTGTACCCATCTGCAGTTACTCCCCTTTCCCCCTCCCCCAGCCCCTGGTAACCACTCATCTACTTTCTGCCTCTGGATTTGTCTATTCTGAATGTTTCATATAAATGGACTCATACTGTGACCTTCTGTGTCTGGCTTCTTTCACTCAGCAAAATGTTTTCAGGATTCCTCTATGTTGTAACATGTATTAGTACTTCATTCCTTTTTATGGCTGAATAATACTCCATTGCAGAATTTTTAAGATTGCAGTTCTCCCTGCAAAGACACACACGTGCCCCCTGCTCAAAGCAGAAGTAACAACAGTACCTGGTGCACAGCAGTTGCACCATAAAAGCAGATTAGATAAGGAAATGAATGAATGAATGATAGTTCTGGCTGGAGGTGGCAGAAACAGCTCTGCGTGTGATACACCTGGGCTCTGACCCTGCAAGTCTTTTATCAGTGGTGTGACGGAGGAAGCTTTTGAGCTTCTCTGAGCCTCAGCTTCTTCTCTATGCATGGGATAAAATAGTAATTGTAGCCCAGACTGCTTCAAGTTTGAGCCCTGGAGAGTCAGGCAGGCCAGGGTTGGAATCCCAGTTCTGCTCTTCCCCTCTGCGTGACCTTGGGAGCGACTTCATTTCCCTGGGGCTCAGTTTCCCCATCTGTAAGATGGAGCAGGCCCCATCATGGGGAGTCCGGAGACACTTAACATGGCACCTAGGACGACGTGAAAGGAGGAGGTCAGGCGCTGTCTTCCCCTGGGTGGGATGAGTGGTCGTAGGAGTAGGGAGGGGGTTTTAGGCAGGAGGAACCCCCTCCCTCGCTCAGTTGGAGGCTTCGGGCTGGCAGGGGCGCATGCGCAGCGCAGCCCCGCAGCCCCTTTATAAGCGCTGAGGCGGCGCTGGGGCGAGTGGAGCGCAGGGCGCAGGGGTGGACCCGGAGCGGATTGAGCCCAGCCGGAGCGTCCTTTGTGCCGGTCGACCGCCCCGGGATGCGTCCGAGCTAGGAGCCAGGTGGGGATCTGTCGTGGGGAGAAGGCCGCGTTGAGGGAGAGGTCCTCGGGATCAGAAGCAGAGCTTGGGTTTGGAGATGGAACCTGGGATCAGAGAGAAGCCCCCAGAATGGGGAGGGGGCTGGGAGGGGGAGGGAAGCCCCGGGGTGGGGAAGGAATGCAAACTGGGAGGGAGCTTGGGGATGTCAGGGGGATTCGCGTTTTGGGAGTAAGGTTGTCCGGGGGAATGCAGAGAGAACCCCGAGATGGGGAGGGGGCCGGGCTTGGGGTGGGTCTTAGAATTGGGGAGGAGGCGCTGGGAACCAAGGCTAGGGAAGGGCACCCCGAGTTAGGAGAGAAGACAGGGACACCCACATGCTGTGTGTGGGACTCCAGAACAGGGCACCCTGGTGTCTGAGCTGAGACACCCCAAGATTTTAAGTAGGGATTTCCAATTTGCAGATGAATGGAGGAGTCCAGGCTGAACTGCAGTGGGGAGGGGCCCCCCAGACTAACCTGAGCCCAGTGGAAGGGGATCTGCACTGAGAGTGAACCCTCATGGGGAAGGGTGCCCTGCGGTCTCCCTGTCTTTTTGGTTCAGATCTTGTCACCACAACCTGACTCAGGGAGGAGGCTCTGGAGGGGGTCCATTCCAAGGTGGTCCCTGTTGTTCCTTGGGACCTGGAGTTGGGGTGCTCTTCCTTCTTCCAGGGAGCACACTGGGTCTCCCAGGTGAGTGCTGGGTCAGAGTCCCCTAAAACCCCCAGTTATTGATCCCAGGACCAATAAAGGGCACCCAGTCCCAAGAAGGGAGCCACCCTCAGTACTTCCACATCTGGCCAGGTCCTCACAGCTGGACACAGACCTTTGCCTCACCCCTTCAGTTCCATCTGTCCGTATGGATGCATGTGGAAGTCCTGGCTTGGCTTGGGGGCACAGGCGCTGGGAAGTAAATGGCTGGGACCCCCAGCCCAGCCTGGACAGGAGCGACCCCCCTCCCTGCGCCTGGGGCTTTGTTCCTCTCAGCAGCATTAATGGGAGACAGCCAGGCTGAGGAGAGTGTTGGCGCTGGGCCCCAGTGGGGGATGTGGGGGAAGGGCAGGGAAGGAGGACTGTGCAGACCGTGGGACCCCAGAACCCAGCAGCCTCCCTGGCTTGTGGACATTCCCAAATGGAAGGGGCCCCCCAGGAGGTGGTGACTTTGTGTATGTGTGTCTATCCCATACTGGGAAAAGGTGTGTGCTTATGGGGGTGCCTGGGGCCCTCTGTGAGTCGAATGTGACCAAGGTTGTGTCTTTGTCAGGAAACTTGTGCCGGGGGGCCACGTCACCAGGTTGCAAAATGATGTGTGCTCACCAGTCAACAAGGCCACAATTTATCCAGCCCAGTCTGTGCCAGGGGCTGGCATCGATGTGTGTGAGTGTGTGTGAGGAGATGTGTCTGACGGAGTGGCCTTATCGAGGGGTTTATGTGGGGAGCCTGAGACTGTGGGTGTGTGTCTTTGTGCAGAAGACATGCTGCCTGCCTTGTAAGTGCCCATATTGTCTCTCTTTGTTAATGTCACTGTGACTCTGTGAGTGTGTGTGTCTCCTAGGCTCTGAGCCTAGAGTGTGTGGCTATGTATGTGTCCCTTGTGTACAGCAAGGGTCCTCTCCATGTGGTTGGCAGTGTGGACCCTGGGCAGGGGAGTGTGAGATGTGGTCTGTGTGCAGAGTTTGGGAGCTAATGTGGGAGACATTGGCAGGAGGTTCAGATCTCCGAGGGGGAGCCTGGGATGATTTACTGAGCCCAGCTTTCTTTCTCCTCCAAGGAGTTCCATGCTCACACCATGTACACAAATATACCCTGATTCCAGGGCTAATAACACATACACACATGTGCTCATAGCTCCTGCTGAGCTCCACATGCAGAGACCATGCTGGGTCCCCTACACCCCACCCAGTGCATAGAGCTGCTGTGGACTCTTGTACACATTCACAAACCATAGAGCAAAATCTCATGAATATCCTTGCCTGGACACAGCACCCTAATGCACACCCAGTCACAAACACACAAGAACACCTGCTGGGAAACTCACCCTCACTCAGTGCCTTCTGAGACAGGAGGTGGGTGTGAGGGAGAGGGACATACACACACACACACACACACACACACACACACACACTTTCTCTCTCTCTCCTATCTCTCTCCTTCTGGGCCACCCCTCCCCCCAAACCCCACAGGCCCCTACTTGCATATGTATGAGGCTCATGCATTATTTATGAGGGGACAAGCCCCAGACAGCTGTGTAACTGCTCACCTCTGGTGGCCCTGGGAAAGAGGTATTTTAAGAGAAAGGGGGTGGGTGTGTGAGGGTCCAGTTGGAGGGGAGTGGAGTGCATGTGAGAAGGCCTGTGTGTGGGCAGGAAGGGTGCATCTGAACCTGTGCCTGTCACCTTTTTGGACTCTATTGTATATAAGAGTATGTACACAAGGCTTTGTGTACAAGAAGCTGTTAGCATTCCGAGTTAACATTTCTTGGATTTCACAAGTCTTAGCTCATTCCATTCTCGCAATAACACTATGAGGTATGTGCTGGGTTATCCCCATTTTACAGATGGGGAAACAAGCACAGAGTGTTGAAGCAGCTGTCTAGGGTCATGCAACAAGTAGGGAGTACAGACAGGGCTTGAAGTCAAGTCACGTGGATGTAGTCTGAGCTCTTAATCTTCAAGAGTATGTATGTGCATGTGTATATATGTGAGAATTCTCTGCACTTGCCCTCTCTTAAGGTCCTTCTGGATCAGGCACAGCCCAGAGTCCTGCCCCACCTTCTAATACCCATTCAGGTCTTGAACAGCCATCAGGGGATGCCGCTCTTGCTTGGGGTTCCAAGGGGGAGAAGTGTGGACAACCTGGGATAGAGACAGAGGTTGCGCAGGTTTACAGATTAGTAGTTAGGGATTATCATCCCAGGACCTGGCCTCTGACCTGCTGTGCAGCCCTAGGCAAACTACTAGCCCTCTCTGGACCCAGAGGCACTGCCCTAAGAAGGAAAGGAGGAGATCAGGGGGCAGTGCCGCTGCATTGCTGCCCCAGAGTTCAGCACCACGGACAGGTCCCCCGGTTTCTCTCCCTACCGGGCCTCTGGAAGCTGGAAACGGGGCGCTGAGGAGGGAGACAGCTGTCCCCCACAGGACCCTATTCTGGACTTCATCCACACTCCTTACTCAGGGATATTCTTTTATCAGGAGGAGAGTGCAAGAGCTGGGTTTGTAGGTGATGTTCTAACTTCCCATCTGCCCCCACCTTAAGAACCTCATTGGCAGTATGAGGGGAGCAAGGACGTGGGGTTCCAGAAGGGTGGGAGGCTTTAGGGAGGAGCCCCTGGGTTTCTAGTGTCTGGGAGAATGTGAGGGCTGGGAGGGCCCTGCTGTGTCCCAATGTCTGTAATTGGCTTGGCTTACAGGTAGTGCTTATTATTTGTCCACTTTATGCTCATGGGCCACAACCTCTATAGAAGGCTGGACACACAACTGTAGTTTCTCTGTGAACCTAGGAGGCATCTTCTCCAGTCAGTGTGAATTCGGGGGGTGGGGTGGGGGGGCAAGGGCGAGGCCCCTTCCTCCAGCTGGGACTTGGCAGTGCCTCAAAAATCCCAGAAACCAGGAATAGAATCTTGGCAACAACCAAATCCTGGAATTGAAGTTGAGAATCGTGTCAGTCAGCAAACCCAGATTAAAGGCTGGCTTGGAGGCCAGCCTGTTGCCAGAACTGGGACCCTAGGCAGACTGGGACTGGCTGCCGCCCTCTAGGAGCCTGCAATTTGATTGGGGAAGCTAACTTAAAAAATAGAATTTTCATCTTGGCAGTGTTAAGGTTAATAATAACAACTGAAATTTATTCCTTCATGCCAGGCAGTTCGAAGCATTTTATATATATTGACGATATTGACTCATCTATTCCTTCCAACTGCCTGATGTTATCCCCATCTGACCTGCAAAGAAACTGAGGTATAGAGAAGTTAAGCTACTTGCTCAAGGTCACACAGCAAGGAGCAGGCAGAGAGACAATCCCAGGTTTGATTCACTCTAGCACTCATGCTCTGACCATAAGACTTTACTGCTGGGATTCTGAAGTCAGCTGGTCCTGGGTTCAAATCCTGGCTCAGCCCTTGCTTGCTGATTGTGCAACCTTGAGAGACAAAGTGGCCTCTTTGAGCCCAGTTTCCAGATCTATAGAGTGGGAGCAATTGGTCTTTTCATGCCGACTGTCTAGGTGGGTTGTACTCACCCTTCCCTCCCTCTCCATCTTGTTTCAGGTCCAGGATGGGGGCCATGTCTGTCTGGGCTTTGGGCCTCCTGATTCTCCAGATGCTGCTTATTGTGGCTGGGAAACAGGGTGAGTTGGCTTGGGGGGTGGGAGAAGTTGGGATCTGGGGAATTGACAAGATGGGGCAGCTTTTTAACTTGAGAGCCTTATCCTGCTGGTTCTCTGGCTTGGTCTGGAAAATAAAAAGAGAATAGATGAAAAAAGTCTTTGAACAGTCAAAAGTGAGCAAGACACCTGAAAGGTTATTTTTAGTCATTGCCTGCGGAGGCTAGAGGTTCCCGCCTCTCACTGTTTTGCTGAGATGAGCTGAAGAGAGAGAGAGAGAGAGAAAAGAGAGAATATTATGAAGATTGATTAGTGATGCCTGCCATGGGTGGGGCAATAGAAATAAAGGTCTATGTGCCTCTCCCTAGCATCTCCCCAGTGGTGGTCAAAAGCCCAGACTTTAGAAATGCCTCCTGATTTGCTGTGACCTCAGGCAAGTGCAATGATATCTCTGAGCCTCAATTTCCTCAAGTCACCCAAAACTGGATGAGCCATGGCTACCTATGCAGATGGTTATGAAAATCAAATGAGCTGATTGCTATTTATAAAGAGCCTGTTATATAGAAGGTACTCCACAAACACTATTCCCCTTTCAATGGCTGCCTCTCATTTAACTTTTGGGGAAACTGTGGCTCAGAGAAGACTTTCCCATGGCTATGTAGTGAGTCAGTGACACTGAGAGTCAAATCCCTGGCCCAGAGGATCTGGACTTTGAGTGGGGGCAGAACTATGAAGGGATTTCTCCCCATTATTTCTTTTCTGCTCACAAATCAGGGTACAGATCACAAATCTGCATTGTGATGTTGTGAAGATAACCTAACCTCTGTGGCCTCAGTCTCCCTATCTGTAAAGTGAGGAAAATAGTGGTAGCTGCTGGCCCTTGCCACTGACTCAGGCCCTCTCTTTGCCTTCTCCATCCCAGGCACACAGGACACCACTGCTGCTGCCGCTGCCGCTGCCGAGAAGGGGCTCCACATGCAGAAGGTGGGGTCTGGGTCGGTGCGGGCCGCGCTGGCAGAGCTGGTGGCCCTGCCCTGTCTCTTCACCCTGCGGCCACGGCCAGGTGCAGCCCGAGAAGCCCCTCGGATCAAGTGGACCAAGGTGCGGACTGCATCAGGCCAGCGGCAGGACTTGCCCATCCTAGTGGCCAAGGACAACGTGGTTCGAGTGGCCAAGGGCTGGCAGGGACGCGTGTCACTACCTGCCTACCCCCGCCACCGGGCTAACGCCACGTTGCTACTGGGGCCACTGAGGGCCAGCGACTCCGGGCTCTACCGCTGCCAGGTGGTGAGGGGCATCGAGGATGAGCAGGACCTGGTGCCCCTGGAGGTGACGGGTCAGTTGGGGGAAGGGGAGGGACCAAGGCTGGGACGGGATACCCATCCACTGAATGTCACCTTAGAACAGTGATGCGCTTTCAGTTCTTCTGATAAAGTCACAACGAAAATCTCTATGGGTCTTTAAGAAAAGTCTTTAAGCTAAGAAAGAGCAGCCTCTGGCTCAGTCTCTTATGACCACAACATTTCACAGGATTTCATAGCCTTATTTTAAGTCCGTTTCATGGTTACCTACTTTCACATAAGGCAAAAGATATTGGCTTTCTACTTAAAATAGGAATACAAATTTCCTTTTAAAATAAATACATGTTTTTTAAAAGTGTAGTTCTTTTAAAAAAAGTCAATTGAAAATACATATTAAGTAAATAACAGTCCTCAAATACCTCTTTAAGCAATTCCTGCATTAAATTTTTTCTATTGAAATATCCAGTGTAGTTTGTTTTCTGAACTGATCAAGGTGAACAAGGCAAAAAAAAAAGTTTTTTAATTATTAAAGCAAAGTCCTAGAACAGGACATGGCACACAGAAGATGCTCAACAGGTATTTGATGAATAACACAACAAATGTATTGTTGTGTGGAGAACATCCGGTGGACTCCTGGGAAGTCAATTTCCCTTAACCTATGTTGGTCATGGGCAAAGTCCCTGCACCCCTTGTTCTGGTGCACAGTGTTTCCCCATCAAACAGTGTCTCACTACATATTTGGGGGGTCAGTCATACCCTTTCCAAGACCCTGGTTCTCATAACTGATAAACTTCAAAGAAAACTAAATGGTGAAAGAAGGGACTGCTACCTCCAGATTTGTTCAGTTCATTCATTCAGCCAAACATTTATTGAGCCGCTACCAGATGCTAGCCTTGTGCTGAGGACATGGCCATGACTGAAATGGAGGTGCTGCCTTCCAGGAGCTCTCAGTTTGATAAGATGGAGCAAAATGTTTAATTCCATCATCTTGCTTGGCCATTTTTCTCAACCTTAAGTCAGAATTTGAGTCACAGTGAACCCTGGCATACACATCACCTCCTCCAGGAAGCCTTCTGTGACTCCATTTCTAAGTTGGGCAAGAACCACATGTGATCGCCCATTGCTGGCTGTTCTTCCCCTATCAGTGCATGTACTTAATTCCAAAAAGGCAGAATCTCTCTCTCTCTCACTCTTCTCCATGCCTCCTGTCACCTCCAGGGCCTAACCCTGGGCATGAAGAATACTATCTTTGGAGTCAGATCTTCCAGGATATAAATTCTGGCTTCCCCTTATAATACTAGTGTGACCCTAGACCTATCCCTCACCCTTTCTGACCTTAGTTTTTTCCTCTGCAAATGGGGATAATCACAGGGTTGTTGTAAGACTTCAGTGAGATAATGTTTATAAATGCCTTTTACATAGCAAATATTTGACAAATTCTAGCCGTTTATGGCCATTGTTAATCAGTTTCCTCATCTGCTAAATGGGGGCATAGCAGTCTCACTTCCCATCATTCCCCATAGCACTGTCTCTGGTGCTGAGTGAACAGATGTGGTACAGGGCAGTGTAGGGCAGTAGATCTCTTATTATCAGACTGGGTAGTGGCGGGGCATTCTGCAAGAGGGAGGTCTGTTCTTGAAGTTTCCAGCACAAATCAACCCTCTATCCTGGATGTTCCCCCACAGGTGTTGTGTTCCACTACCGAGCAGCCCGGGATCGCTACGCGCTGTCTTTCACTGAGGCCCAGGAGGCCTGCAGTCTCAGCTCTGCCACCATTGCAGCCCCGCGGCACCTGCAAGCTGCCTTTGAGGATGGCTTTGACAACTGTGATGCCGGGTGGCTCTCTGACCGCACTGTTCGGTGAGGGGGTACACAGGGTAGGGAGATGGAGAGCTAGCCCCTGGAGAAAGATGGTCCTTGGGGGCCCCAGGAGCACACATCTGAGAGGGACCCCCACCTTGTCTTGTCAGGTATCCTATCACCCAGTCCCGTCCTGGTTGCTATGGTGACCGTAGCAGCCTTCCAGGGGTGAGGAACTATGGGAGGCGAGACCCACGGGAACTCTACGATGTGTATTGCTTTGCCCGTGAGCTGGGGGGTAAGTCTGGGGCTGGCAGAACCCCCACCTTCCCTGAGCTCTTTTACCCTCCCTAACCCCCATCCTTCCCTAAGTCCTTGCCCAGCTCTCCCAAGTCTCATCCCTCTCTAAACCTGCAGCCAGCACCTGGGCCCACCGGTTTCCTGAGCTTTCCTCCCCGCTCTGAGCCCCTCTCTTTCTCTGTGCCCCTTCCATCTTTCTGAGCCCCTTTCCTCTCTGAGGCCTTTTCCCCTTCTCTGAGTCTATCCTCCCCCCATCCCTGCCTCACTTTCCCCTTCCTACTCACTGAGCCCCTCCTCACCAAGCCTTTCCCTCTCTCTGATGTGCAACCCGTTGAAGGGCCTGAGTTACCTCACTTGTAAAAAAGAAACTGAAGTCCCCCCTCTTAGCACTGAGTGAGAGGTAAGGGCATCGTGATGCTGTGGTGAAGGGGGTATGCAGCTGCGGCTGCCAGCGTTTCCTTTAACCACAACCCAAATCTGACCAGATCAGGGCTATCTGGAGTGGAATCCCCTTCCCGGGCTCCGGAGGAAGGCCCTTGGGGCCCCTCTGACCTTCTCCCGCGCCTTCCCACAGGCGAGGTCTTCTACGTAGGCCTGGCCCGCCGCCTGACACTGGCCGGTGCACGTGCCCAGTGCCGCCGCCAGGGCGCCGTGTTGGCCTCCGTGGGACAGCTGCACCTAGCCTGGCATGAGGGCCTGGACCAGTGTGACCCAGGCTGGCTGGCTGATGGCAGCGTGCGCTACCCGATCCAGACGCCGCGCCGGCGCTGCGGGGGCCCAGCCCCTGGCGTGCGCACTGTCTACCGCTTCGCCAACCGCACCGGCTTCCCGGCTCCGGGAGAGCGCTACGATGCCTACTGCTTCCGAGGTGCGTGTGAGGCCACGCCCCTTGAGGATGTGTCCCCTAGTGGCCACGCCCCAAGGGCATACATCTTGGTAACCGCCACGCCTCTAGAAGCTTGGCTTTCTGGTGGGGGCTAGGCAGGGGAGACACACGTGAAAACTTGCTCCGCCCCCTGGGGAAGGTCACGCCCCTGAGACAGTCTTTCTGTAGGAGCCCCGCCCTGCGAGAGGACGACCCCAGAGAAAGCCAAGCTCTGGTGGGGGAAGTCCTGTTTAGCGGCTGAGGTCCCTGAGAAACACCCCTGGATGGACCGTTTCTTACTGGAGCCACGCCCATGAGTACCCCTTAGGAGGAAGTGATGCCTTGGCTAGCCACGCCCCCTGAACGAGGCCCCACCCCGAGAGACAGGACCGGGGATGACCCTTCGGGTCGAGCCACACCCTCAGAAGCTGCAAATCTCAACTCCAAGAAGCTGTCTTACGTGTAAGAGGGGGAAAAAATCTCTTCGTCGGAAGGCCATGCCCATTAGGCTCTTCCTCTCCCAGGGGAGGAGCCATGGCCCTGGTCTGACCGGCCCCCCTGAGAGTTGCCCACTGCCTGAGCTTTACCCACCAGCCAAGCTGTCTCTTGATCCTTTTCCATGACCAGTTAACAGATCTTGACAGTGGGCCCTAGCCTGAACAGTGGGGATGATAACTTTATACCTCCATCTTTCAGTCCAGGGGATCCCAGGAACAAGCCATAGAGACAGAAGGGGCATGTAGAGACAGAGATATAGAAGATCTGTGCTGCAGCATGCTAGAATGTGGGTAGACTTCAGGCAGAACGTACCAACAGCTCCTGGGCCTAACACACCCTCTTCTGCTTTCTCCCACAGCTCATCACCCTACATCACAACATGGAGACCCAGAGACCCCCTCGTCTGGGGATGAGGGGGAAATTCTGTCGGCAGAAGGGCCCCCTGCCCAAGAGCTGGAGCCTAGCCTGGGGGAGGAGGAGGTAGTCACTCCCGACTTCCAGGAGCCTCTGATGTCCAGTGGGGAGGAAGAGCCTCTGATCTTGGCAGAGAAGCAGGAGTCTCAAGAGACCCCCAGCCTTGCCCCTGGGAGACCCACGCTAGCCTCAGTGCCTGCCCTGGAGGCTGAGGAGGAGTGGCTGAGCACTGTGGCCCCCAGCCCCAGCACCGTGGAGGCAGGCACTGCAGTGGGCATGCACACAGAGGCAACCCCAGCCAGCATCATGCCCAGGAGGAGGGGGCGCTTTAAAGGGTTGAACGGGCGCCACTTCCAGCAACAGGAACCCCAGCGAGGGCTGAAGGGGGGGCTCGAGGCCAGCATCCAGACCCCTACTCCAGAGGTTGCTGGGAATTACGTGGAGCCTCCCTTGGCCACAGGAGCCACAGATGCCTTGGGGAGTGGCCGGAGCCAAAGCCCCTGGGCTGTGTTGACCAATGAGGTGGATGTGCCTGGAGATGGTGAGTGGGGTCCAAGGGGGAGATGGGACCTGCCTGGGAATCCAAGGGGGACAGGGGAGGAGGCTTTGAATCACACCTGGGTCCCCTGGCCTCACCAAGCCTCCAGAAGACCCCTCTTCCTCAGGCCTGGAGCCAAGGAGGCACTCAGCAGAAGAAGCTGCAGAGAGATAATTATGATTACTGTTGATATTTTTGCAGGTTCCCCTGGTGGCAGGACCCCCACAGAGTCCTGGCTGTGGCCCCCAACCATGGTCCCACCCATCATCCCTGACCCCAGCAGAGCCCTTGACCTGGAGCTAGAGGAAGCCAAGGGCCCCAGTGTGAGGCCAGCCATCCTCGACCTACCCTGGTCCGCCTCAGAGGCCACTGGCTCTGCTCCCAGCCCCTTGAAGGGCCCCAGCACTGCCCCATGGGAAGCATCCCCCATGGTCATTTCTCCTGATCTCCCTGTCATGGCCATGCTTCGTGCCCCCAAACTGTGGCTTCTATCACACCCTACGTCTCTCCCCACCACCACTGGGGTCAAGGAGTATAGTGAGGCCATGGTCGCTGCCCCACCTTCCCCTGACTCTGACTCAGAGACCAGCCTCCAGGACCCCATTCATCCAGAAATGTATTCCCTACCCTCCTCAGGCCTGACAGGACAAGGTGGAGAGGCCACATCCCCGACGTTCAGCAGCCACAGAACAGGGAGTACTACAGCCCCTTTGCAGGCAGCCACAGACACACGAGCTGGACCCAGTCCTAACTCCCCCGAGACAGACTTCAGGAAAACTGAGGGAACCAGCCCTACTGGGCTCAGCAAAGCTGAATGCCCCAGAACCAGCCCACAGACTTCTGTGGACGGGAATGTGGTGCCAGATTCCACTCCCACTGAGCCTGCCAGTGAGCCTGTGGGAGCCAGAGGCATCTCAGGGTCTGAGTCTGGGGTCTTCAGCACAGCAGAGAACCCCACTTCCAGCTTTCAGGCCACCATGGATGAGGTGCAGGACACATTGTCCTCACTACACAGTGAAGGGCTAGACCCCCACCCCTCATCTGCACCCTCAGGGGGTCCTGGAGTCTCCCTGATGCCCAAGGTCACCTCAAGTTTGGAGCCTTGGGCTGCTGTAGATGGAAGAGCCCCGGTGGGTTCCATGGATACCACGGCCACACTGGATCCCAGTGATGCTGGTGGGATTTGGGAACCTGGATCCTATGTGGTTGAGGGAGCTGAAAGCCTCACTGTGAGCCCTCAAGTGGCTGTGGATACAAGTGTGGTGACATCCCGCATGTCCCAGGACCTGGGGGGCAAGGTTGGGGTCCTGCCCATGGCCACAATGGCCTCCTCAAGCTCCCAACCCCACCCAGAGCCGGAGGGCCAGGTGGTGACTCAGGAAACCCCAGGAGCCTTGGCACCTCTGGCTGACGGCAGCCCCCCAGGGGAGCCCGCTCTTCCTCTTTGGACACCGACAGCAGCCAGCCTGGACGAGCCCATCTCAGTTTCCTCGGGGGAGTCTACCATGCCATGGGACTCCTCCAGCACCCAGCTGCCTTCCTCCCTGGGCCCAGCGGAATTTGAGCTGGAGGTCCTGGCAGGGAGTCCAGGTGTGGAGGGCTTCTGGGAGGAGACAGCAAGTGGAGAGGAGCCAGCCCTGCCAGGGACCCCTGCAAATGAGAGTGCAGAGGAGGGTGAGTTCAAAGCTTGCGGTCTCATCCAGGCCACTGTGGCGGTGCTTGGGGACCAGAGGCTGGGGTAGCCCAGAGCTGGGAGGAAGGGTTGTTCTTGGGTGTCTGGAAATGTTTCTAGCAAGGGATGATGTTGAAGGTGGGAGTTTATCAGGCAGAGTTTGAATTGCGAAAAGGGTGTTCCTGGCAGAGGCACTAGCCTGGGCAAAGGCCAGGAAGTGAAGTTGTGTTTGGTGTGTTTCATGCACAGCGAGTAATGAGGGAATGATGAGGCGTTGGGTGGAGTTTGGTTTTGGGGATGAGTACGATCAACAAATCACGTTCATGTCCACTCTGAGCCAACAGTGCTGTGTATGCTCGAGTTCTACCTTCAGTGATGCCTCAGTCTGGGGAAGACATAGCTGGACACAGACACACCCCCCAGGGTGGGGCTGGAGGGAAGGAGGCATGGCAGGAAGGGCTTCCTGGACAAGTGAGAATTGCAACTGGAATTCAATGGTGCAGATAACCTCAAGCCACAGGGAAAGTGGGTGCTGGGAAGGAGTGGGAGTGGTGGGCATCACCCCCATTTTGTAGACAGCAAATTGAGGCTCTGGGAGATACATCACTACCAGCTAGTCGTGACTGAACTTCAGTTGGCAACTAAGTCCACATGTGCCCAGCGGAGTCCAGAGAAAGCCTATTCTCCTAGGGCTAGGTCTGCCCACAGCTCAGCCTGAAAATTCCAGCCCTTTATTTTTAAGGGCCTGCCATATTGAGCTATTTTTCTGGTCAAGTGAGCTTTAAAAAAAAAAAAAGAAGAAGAAGCTAATTAAAAGGCACTTTTTCTGAGTTGGAGAACACTCTTATTAACACAATTGGTTTTACACTTGCTCCTTTTTTTGAAGGCAAAGTGTCGTGGTGATGGAAATAGCGGATACAAGGTTTCATCGCCCACCCTGTCATCTCTGGGCTGTGTCTGGGGCCGCATCTCTTTTTTAAAAATTCTTTTTCACATCCTTCATATAATTTTTTTGTTCTGTTTTGTTGGAGGGGAGGTAATTAGGTTTATTTATTTATTTTAATAGAGGTATTGGGGATTGAACTCAGGACCTTGAGCATGCTAAGCACTCACCCTACCACTGAGCTATACCTTCCCCCTCAAATATTCTTTTTTTAAGATGCCCAGGAGGCAGGCAGACCATGGGCAGGGGCACAGGCATCAATAAAGTCTGATGCTTATCAGTGACTGCCTGTTCAAGTGCCTTGTTCTGAGCACTTTACTGGAATCACCTTGGTTAATCGTTTTAATGGCCCCATGGAACAAGTTCTAGTATGATCCTCACTTTACAGATGGGGAGACTGAGGCACAGGGAGGTCAAGTGACTTGTGCAAAGTCGTGCAGCTGGGGAGTGTCAAGGATAAGGTTTGAAACCAGGCTGTCTGATAGCAGTCTCGGTCTCAATCACAGAAATAAGATGCTTATTTCAAGAGTGGAGGGTATAGCTCAGTGGTAGAGCGCATGCTTGGCGTGGGTGCACGAGGTCCTGGGTTCGATCCTCAGTGCCTCTGTTAAGGGGGGGAAAGGATGCTTATTTCATTGTCATTAAAAACAAAACAAAACAAAACCCTTGGGCCTTGGGGAGGGGGTAAGCTTACCGGGGTAGCTAGAGAAGAGACTGGTTGTGGGGGATGGGCAGAGGGAAGGAGGCTCCTTGCTAAAGGAACTAGAGAAGGGATGATCAGAAAGGCGGGAGGGAAGCCATGTAGAGGGATGCTAAGGAAGGTGCGTTGGGAGGAGCCCCCAGGGCCACGGCTGAATCTGTCTTGGACATTGCTGGTTTTTTGGCTCCAGATTCAAGCCACTGGCAGCCAGGGTGGAGAGAGGCTGCCAGTGCTGGGGGAGACCCGGGTGCCTACCCACCTACTGCTTGCAGCAGAAATGCTAATGAAGCCAAAAATAAATGCAGCACCAGCAAGCGACTGAGTCACCGCCAGTCCGTGGGCAGGTGTCAGCAGCTCAGGGCACCTGGCGGGGCTTACACATCCCCGCGCCTGGCAGTCCCACGCGTGTGCATGCACGTGCTAGGGTGGCACCAGGCACAGACATAGCTACAGCCCTCTCTGGCCATCCCCCGGTGGGTACATGCCACTGCCCCAAGGACAGGCTTCAGCCACTGCAGGAGGGACAGCGTCTACCTTCATTCAATTAGCAAGCAACTATTGAGTGCCTGCTATATTCCAGGCACCACGTTGAGACCAAGTCCCTTGTCCTCTGGGAGCTGACATTCTAGAGCAACACTCTAGAACTTTCCCAATGATGGAAATGTTCTCGAACTACACTGTCTAATATGATAGCAACCAGCCACCCATGGCTACTGAGCACTTGAAATGTGGCTAGTGAGACTGAGGAACTGCTTTTTAACTTTTATTCCATTTTAATTAATTTAAACTTAAATAGCCATATGTGACTGCCATGTGGAACATCATTGCTCTGGGCAGAGACATGGATAAGAAACAATGACCCTAATAAATTATATTGGAGGTTAGAAAGTAATAAAGACAAAAGAGAAAGGTAAAGCAAGGAGTAGGGGATGCTAGTGGGTGGGTTTTAGTTTTGGAAGAGGGATTAGGCTGAAATTTGAGCAAGCCTGAAGGAGGTGAGGGAGGAGCCATGGAGAGATCTGGGGGAAGAGCAGTTCAGACAGAGGAACAGCTTGTACAAAGGCCCTGAGGTAGGTCTGTGCCTGGTGTGTAGGAGAAACAGCAAAGCCAGTGTGGCTGGAACGGAGTAAGTGAAGCGAGTAGAGGGGGAGAAGAGAAAGTAGGGCAGGGAGATATCGGGGAAGACTGCACAGGGCCCTATAGGCTGTGATAAGGACTTTAGCTTCTCCTGTGAGGGCAATGGGGAGCCATGGAGGAGTCTAGGCAGAAGAAGGACATGACCTGACTCAGGTTTACATAGGCTCCCTCTGGCAACTGTGGGGAAAACAACCTGTGGAAGGTGAAAGTAGAGGCCAGAAGACCAGAGAAGAGGTGACTACTTGTGATCATCTCAGTTTCTTGTGACGCCCCAGACCAGGACAAAACAGAAACAAATTCTAGGTTATAGGGGCTGAAGAGATGGCCTTCAGCTGGGCTTCCAGAGTCCTTAGACTTTTGTAGTCTTGGCTCTTGTACTGTCCTGCTATGTGGCTTTGAGCTAGGCCCTGCCCTTCTATGGGTCTCGGTTCTAGTATTTTGTGGTGGAAGGGTTGACACTGCCCTGACAAGGGGTGGATGTCATCTGGGGTACATGGAGGGATCTTGCTCTGCTCCTCCAAAGCTTCAGAATAGAGACCACCCACCAAGGCATCTGGGCCCCTGAGATGGGGAGGGGAGACCCTTCTGCCTCCAGGGAAGCCCAGCTGCAAAATGATGAGAGAAGGGGACAGGGCCTCACATTCCTCAATGTCCCCTGGGTGCCCTGTCCATAGTAAGCAACACTGAGTCCCCTCAAGAGGCCCCAGGCTGATATACACAGAGCCAGATACGGCATTATAGTCAGAACTGGGAGACAGGGAGAAGCTATTTTTATTTCCATTTTGTAAATGAGGCAACTGAGATTCACAGAAGTGATTTGCCCAGGGTCCCCTAGTGAGTGGCAGAGGTAGGGATTGAACCAGCCTCTCTGACTGCTCAGCCTATGGTTATAACTGCTATAATCCACCACTTCTCCACACTATAACCACTGAGGTTGCATCAGCAGAGGTTGAACCACAAGGATGAGGGAGGTGATGGTTCCCTCTGGTTCCAGTACTGTTCATACCCATCAGGAACCTATGTCCCCTTTTTTGCCCCAAAGAATGAGAAGCACAGTGACCAGTAGGGCATGTCTAGATGAGAAAGACAAGTCAGGGGGGCACTTAAACCATGTTCTAGGAGACTTCCTAAGAGAAGCTGCAGGAAGCCCATTCTAGTTCAGTCCAAGGAAGGCCTATGCCACATGCAGATGCTTTGGGGCAGTTCCTAGAAAGAGTAAGCTCATCACAGGGGCATGCTAGAGGAAGTTCACAATCACTTATTGGGACGTTATAGAGGGGACTCCACAGAGAGGGAGAATGCCCTTAGGGGTCGGAGGTTTGGATTCCCAGAAGGCAGACCTGGTGGTCCGATTCCTTCCTGCAATGTCTGTCCATCCTTCAGTTCCCTTGGATCCGTGTGAGAACAACCCTTGCCTGCATGGGGGCACCTGTGAAGCCAATGGTACCATGTATGGCTGCAGCTGTGACCAGGGCTTCACCGGAGAGAACTGCGAGATTGGTGAGTACCCTGGACTCAGGATCTGAATGTAAACTTGTTTGACCCAGAGCCGCCACCCCCATGAGGACTCAGTGATCACAGAATACTGGCTTCAGATGCTCCCTTCCCCTCCCTCGCTCTTTGGCTCCAGTAAATCAGCCCCAGCACCAACCAGCTGAGCTTTCATCCTGAGGGAATGCTCTGGTGTGCTACCTCCCAGTAGTACCAGGCAGGTGTTGGGGAGGGGACGACAAAAGGATGGTAAGGTTTAGATTCCTATGAGCAAAGGGCCCCAAGGGATCTCCCACTCTATCCTGGGTGGGCAGGGGTATAGGCACCACCATCAGAACTGTTGGATACTAGCCCCAAAGCGTAACACAAGAATTACAACAAATTATGAAAGTATAACAATAATTATAAGCAATATAATTTCTCGAGCTCTTCCATTGACTCTCCACTCAATTACCATTGAGAAGGTGTCATTATTTTTTTAATATTGTTAATTAAGTGTAACATACAGACAGCAAAGTGCCCAAGTTTTTTTAATACAGTTTTTTGCTTGTTTTTATTTTTCTAATGTGGTTGTTGGGGATTGAACCCAGGACCTTGTGCATGCTAAGCACATGCCCTACCACTGAGCTATTCCCACCCGCCTTGAGAAGGTGCCATGATTATTACCACTTTGAGAAAGAAAGAGAGAAAGGGAGAAAGAAAGGGAGAAAGAAAGAAAGAA